GCCCCCGAACTACACTTGTTGTGTATTAAAATACTATTAAAATACTATTGATTGTATATTATAAATACTATTTATTCACCCAAAAATTTTAATTCAAGTCATCTCTATTTAAACTAAAAGCACGACCTCAATTCGCTTGGTGTCATGAATTTCGTGAACAAAAATAAAAAAAATATTATTTCATCACATGATATATGTACGAGTATGTTATATTTTTCTTAATATTTCTCGAATTTCCTTAGTTACTACAACAATAATATGAAAATCGTGTTTGCTAGGTTAACTACATAAAAAAACTAATAAATAAATATGTCACTGCTGAACATAGGCCTCCCCCAAGGAATGCAACAAAGCACTCGATCCTGAGCCACCTTCATCCATCGACTTCCTGCATGTCTTACCAGGTCGTCACTCCATCTAGTGGGGGGACGCCCTACACTTCGTCCGCCGGTATGAGTCCGTCACTCGAGAACCTTTTTTCCCCAACGGTTGTCGGTTCTTCGAGCTATATGGCCGGCCCATTGCCACTTCAGCTTACTCATCCGTTGGGCTATGTCGGTCACTCTGGTTCTACTGCAGTTATCCTCATTTCTAAGTTTGTCACGCATAGAAATTAGCCCTCAGCATAGTCCTCTCCATAGCTCGCTGAGCGACCTTGAGATTCCTCATCCGGGCAGCAGTGAAGGACCGCGACTCAGTTCATTAGGTCATCACGCACTGGTTGTACTATCTCGTTTTGAAGTTTTGAGGTATACCTGACGAGAAGATGTGCCGTAATTTCCCGACCGCTGCCAAGCCGTGTTGAATCCGTCGATTGACCTATAGTTCGTAGTTGAATTTACCTAGTCGGACTATTTGTCCCAGGTAAACATACTCGTCAGCAACTTCGAGCTTAGTGCTCCCAAAAACTATCCGCATAGGTGTGATATGGACGGTATACATGATGTTGATGGGAGGCACTATTGTCGTCACTGAGCATAGTGCTTAGGTCCTCCAGCGATTCTGGCATAAAGACTATATTGTCGGCAAATCGGAGATGAGTGATGTATGTACTCGTCGTTGATTTTAATACCGCATCCTTTCCAGTCTAGAAGCTTGATAACGTCTTCCAATGCAGCGCTAAAGAATTTTGGGGATATAACATCACCCTGTCTTACACCTCTCTGCAGTTGGATAGGTTTCGTACTCTGGTTCTGTACTCGGATAGCCATCGTAGCCTCACTGTACAAACACTTCAGCACTTCGATATACCGACAGTCAACTTGGTACCGCTGAAGGGATTGCAACACCGCCCAAATTTCGAAGGTTGATCATTTCTCATAGTCCACAAAAACGCCATACATAGTGACAAATTAATAACATTCAGGTTCAGTGTGCCTCTCACCATTCGGTGATTGCTGCCTGTTTTCATCCTTACGATCACTGAGACATCACTAAACAGTTGTCGTCTGGTCGCCATAATGAAGTCAATCTCATTTTTGTCGAACCGTCGAAGCTCCTGATCAGATCCAATTCCTGTGGGGCCGCTTCTGGAAGAAAGAGTTCATCATAAAGAGTCCCTCTTTCTCCATGAAGTCGGCCAGCTGCTGGCCACTTGGGTTCCGTTGCCCTATTCTAAATTTCCCTACCTTAAGCTCACCGTTCTCTCTTGTGCCTAGTTTTGCGTTGAAGTTTCCGATTAACACCGTATAGTGAGTTTTGGAGGAATGCATGGCTCTAGATATATCCTCATACATTTCATCCACCTCCTCATCGGAATGTTCCAAGGTTGGTGCGTAAACCTGTATGACCTTCAGCGAATACCGTATGGTGATTCTGAGTATAAGGTACTCTCAATCTTTACAACGTTGTTAAGGAGAGACATGTGGACGATAAATCCGACACCTCCTTGGGATAGATGGTCGCCCTCCCGGTGATAGAACAAGTTGCCGGATTCGAGGATTATCATGTCCTCCCCCTCTCTTGGGACCTCAGATAATCCTATAATATTTCAGCGCAACTTGTCTATCTCTTCGTCCACCTCGAGGATCTTCTCGTCAGTCCTCATGGTGCGTCAGGTGCGTGCGTTATATGTTGCCAGGTCAAATCGTCTTATGTGGCAAACGAACCTCCACTGGAGATTCTTAGCACCCACTGCCCCGCCGTCACCATGGTCGCCATCGTAGCCAGGAATAGCGGATCCGCTGCGGACTAGGGGCCGTCTCTTCGTAACTATAATCATGGTGTGTATATTGCCATAGTTGGAATGCTTGGCGAGTGCAGTTGGCAACCGCAGTTTTATTATTGTTGTTTTGCTATTATCAGAAAGATGCTGCTGCCCATCTTCTACCTCAGTTTCCCTCTGTCGCCTTTTACGACACCCGCGGGAAGATATAGGGTAGGGGGTATGTATACCCGCCACTACACGGGAATATTTGACGATAAAGATTTACTTAATATTTTATTGTTGCTGTTCCTTGTTGTTTACTTTGAATTATAATTTCTATAATATTGTTCTACGTATGACGTGGACATGATACCCTTTGTTATTGAAATTTTATGTGGTAGAGATACCTCTAGGAGGTATATGATCCCTTTGTATTAGACTCTAGATGTTTTTTTTTATTAATCACCACTCTTGACAGGCGAACGTGTAATCGAAGTACTAATCCTCTCTTAAACACGACCTTTGGTATTTGTTTTGTTACTTTAGTTGCTTAATTTGAAGTTATTAATAGCAGAATAATTAAATATATTAAAATGCTACCAAGGCTTCTTTCACTTACGCTTATCCTACGACTTACTTACTTGATAGGGGTTTCAAAATGTGGTTTTAAAATTCCGCGCTCCGGATAAATCACCACTGGCGTTTCACCAGACTCGTCACACAATGAGTTCCCTTTAAATTCGAAACTGAGACTTTCATTCTCGTTGTTCTTTATTCTTACGACAGTTTCATTTGTGAAACCTACTAAGGAATTTTTCAATAATAAAATTTTTGGGACAAACTCAACATCTGGCTCTCTTACGAAACCTACCACTAACAAATTCGTCACCAACGAATAGGTAGGAATTTTAAACTTCCATTGTGATTCGTAAACCTAGAAATTACAAAAAATAATATGTTATTTCTGGTATCGCATCATCGCATTTAAGACATTGAAAAAGAATAGAAAAATTAATGAAATGTAAGTAGTATCAAATAATGTAGGTATACATATTTCAGTGATATTGTCTTGCATAAATATTTCTCGCTATAACAAATTTAAGGTGACAACTTTTCTGCTTCAATGTCTTTATTTGTAGTTTGTTAAAGATGTCCATGGATTGCATACATGCCGGAAGCCACTACTTGTTAGTGCGGTATTAGTAGCGGGTGGACTGTGGGCTCATTTTTCATTCTTATTTTAATTATAATCAATATTTGCAATATTTCATTAACAACTACAAATCCACATTAATTATATATTTGTTTATTTATTCTTTACTATCCATCCACCCCGGCTTCGCACGGGTGATTTCTGGATCTCGACAACAGCGCCACCTACCGGGCCCAATTGTGAATCTAAACCATCCACAAAACCCACTATAACGCAACCAAAAAATTTTCATCAAAATCGTTCAAGACGTTTTCGAGTTTTAGCGAGACTAACGGAGCAATTGATTTTTATATAATTGTAAACACTTTCAATTAAGGGTTACAAAGGGCGTACTTAATGGTATATGACATTCTATATTAGGAATTCAGGAAGAGATTAAATAAAACATAAATACTTAGGTATTAAATATAAAACAAACCCCAGGAGATGTAGGTGAAAAAGTAAAAACAACTTCAGTGGAGGTACCGCCTTCAACGTAACCTTTTAACTTGTTACAATGCACAGGAACGAACTCTTGTACTTCAGACATCACCACTTCAAATATAAATTCATATGACTGAGTCGTTGGGTTAATAACGTTAAACGATCTAAAAGTACAATAAGACACAAATAAAAATAGTTTGTCATAATCAATGGATAGTTAAAAAAAGTTAAAGTTACAACCCATTGGATAGTGCTCTTTAAAATTTGAAGATATTATAATAACAAATGTTTTGTGTAAAGTCAATACTACCTTAAATCTAAATTTAGTTAATTAGTAAAAGTAACTACAATGCACATATTGGTTATAGCAAAAAATCATAATTTAGACCAATTTGGGGGACAAGAAACCGCTGCGGTAGTGCCATAATGGCGCCGCTATGGGTTACACGCTCTTCTGAAGATACGAGTAGCCAATTTTTTCTTAGACCAACTTAAAATATAGACAGAATGCAGTCGAGTAACCTGTAGCCTTAAATATACGTAGTGTAGTTTATTTTTCTTTGTTGGTCTGAGAAATTTTTTAGTGTTGCAATGGATTCATATGAAGAGGACTTTTACCAATTTCGTGAAAACGGAGAAAACAATAAATTGAAAAAAAATCAGAACGAAGGATAGGACCCTTGCCTAATAAACAAACAAGTTTATGAATAATGAGAATGAAGATTATGCTTACAAAGATGCTTCAAACTTTTGTAAGTCATGAAGGAAAGGAAAGCTCATATGTCCCAAAGCCATATTCTAGTATAACTAATTTTATACAGCAGTGTATAGTTTAAATGAACGTGTGTTGTTTAACTTGATCTTAATTACTCGTAATCAAACAAAAAATAAACATGTGCATCTCGTAACTACCGAGGCAGAAACACGATTGTGGCCAGTAACTTTTTGAAATTGCATTAAAATATTTGGGCTATTGCGTTTATCAATCCTAAAAAGCCACCCTGAGATGTATAGTTACTACCATAATGCACTAATAATAAAGAATAGACTTAAGTTATTTTACTTTATAAATTGGGTGGCTGTTTTAGTGTGTATTTTAAACGAAATAACTCAAATATTAATTGATATCAGTCACGCCACAGTGGCACCACTGCAGCACTCCATCGAAGGTGTAATTTGAAAGCATACTAAGAAAGATTAACGTGTTCAAATAAACTTTTACTTCTTGTAACATCCGGGGCCGAGAACATTGAATTCTAGCACGGTTGTTAGTGCAGGTAAAGCTACTTCAGTAGCTTTTCTTCTACCAGATGTCAAATAATCACTCTCTTCTACGTCCAAATGAACGTAAGGAATGAGCGATTTTGCTGTAATTTTGCAAGTTATATTTTGATCATAAGGATCTAAATTATCTGAAAAATAAAAACATGTACGTGATTTAAAATCGCTAAAGTCTTTGACACTTTTTCATGCAATTAATATATTTTGATATTAACCTATTGTACTCTGTAGCCGGACTTTAAACAAAAATGCATCAAGCGGTGAAAATATTACGTTGAAAATTTTAGTTTCGTTAGGATTTAAGCATGCTTTCTTCGGCTCTATGTGGAATGGCAAATCAATCTCGAACCAAGTGTCTGCACTGTCTCTGCTCAAACTTTCACTGAATAATGTCATTTTGCTAGGATCTGATAAAATATAATTTAATGTAATGAATAGGTAATAAATAATACTAATAAAATATTTAAAATTAAAATATAAAGCTAAGGCATCACTTCTACTCGTACCAAACCCAGCCCAGCATGGTATGGTCAACCCATTCAAAAAATTCTGTAGATTAATAAATGCTGAAGGGGATACAAAAATATAAAATTAGTTTATTATATGTATATACCTAATACAGGTTTAAATTAAAAAGGATGGTAAAAACGCACATAGCCAATTTTATGGTCCGGGTATTAATTAAAATAAGTATGGTAGACAAAAAAGGTAAAGAGTAGATTTTCTTTATCAGTCAGTAAAAGTTTTCTGATGAATATGGGTCTCTTTTCTTATAGCTTGTACTATTATTTATTCTGTGATTATACTGATAATTTGCCTTAATCGTAACGCTTAGCTGGCGGAATTGTATTGGCCGATTGTAGCGTAAGACGTCTCGCATCTTTGACGCTGTTGCCCATTGTCGGTCTGCCGTAAACGAAATTTATCGGAAACCATAAGATTTTTGTGGCATTCCCCATAGTTGCATTTTACAACACCCACAGGATGAGCTGTGTCTCGCCAGCAACACAAAGTCAGGAATTTGCATTTAGAGAAACCCGAAATTAGTGGCTTTTTGGTGCTAATTAGGTGTCAAGTTTAAAAATTACGTGCTCTAAAATTTTCACCGCAACGAACTGTTGAAATTTGCGTTGCTAGCAAAACGTATATGCAATGTATAGGCAATATCATTGCCTATACTTGCAGCAACTAATTAGCACTTAACTCCTTACTATTAATATTTATCGTATATCTAATAACTTCATTGCATTGCTACGATACGTTTTGCTAGCAAGGCTAATTTCAACATTTCGTTGCGGTGAAAATTTTAGAGCACCTAATTTTTAAACTTGGCACCTAATTAGCACCAAAAAGCTCCTAATCTTGGGATTTTCCAAATGCAAATTCCTGACTTTGTGTTGCTAGTGATACACAACTCATGGGATGAAACAGAGTGATGGATTCTCTTATTCCAAATTAGTTAACGTTATTCGATTATGAACATTACTATACTACTAATATTCAACTGAAATAGTAAATTTTAGTTCGTCGTTGTGCATTTTAAAAATCATATATTTTTTGTGATTTACTAAAATTATGTTTGAATTGTTTTTACCACTATTAGAGTTTTCACTATTTTTCTCTATTGCAAGTATTTCGGAATCTCTTTCATTTGTTGAGCCATTTATACTCTCTGAAGACTCTGTCACATTTTGTGTATCCTTAAAAAATAATATTGTTAGATAATAACTTAATTTATGCTTACGAAATTACTAAAATTAAGGTGGATGACATACTTCCTTTAATTTGGATTTCGTTAGTCTAATAGGAAATTCATCATCAATAACGAAACTCCAAGTAATTTTCATGGGTACTCTTCCAACGTTTTCTACTTTGAAATTAAAACTTCGTGTCTATTTCAAAACCAAGTAAGTTATATTAATATTTAAAAATTCGTGATAATTTAATCAACTTCAATTTAAAACCGTATGCAGAAAGTAACCTGATATATAAAAGTATCTTGTAAAGTTTTTTCTTCTTCTAAATCACATTCATATTTAGTATATTCCGTTTTAACTGAGTAAATAATAACAATGGAGATGTTTTCATTAAATTCTTCGATAATTGGTGATTTTATTTGATCTTCTACCGTAATATCATATCTTTCATTAAGGCTAACATCTCTATAAATAAAGCAGTGTATTGTTTATATGTTTATGAAATAAATAATAGATACGTACACAACATACTATACCTATTGCGTTTAAACAATGTTACAGTTTGCCGAGTATCCCACGTAATTTCTCTAGAATTTTCTGTTAGGGAATTATCGCTAACAACAGTCAAGGAACAACTTATAAATTCCTGTAACATTACAAGAAAAAAATCAATTTAATGATTTTTCATTTCTTTTATTAAGTAAAGATAACGTTCGATATTGGAAAGACTTTACTAACGAAATTATTAATATTTGAGTTACCTTTTCAATGTCAACAGGTTGTGAAGAATAAAAAATAATTTCCAAGTCTTTCTCTTCACCTGGAGAAATGTAGCCAGCGGAAGGTCTAACAACAATATTTTCAGATTCCATCCAGGCAAATTTATAAACCTTTTCAGAATTGTTGACCATGATTACTGATCTTCTCTGTATTAAGCACAGTTCACATCCGCCTAAATTCCCAAAAAATATTTTAAAGTAATTTTCTAAAACTATACCTAGTGTAATCTATTAATAAAAAATGGCGCATACCAAAATCTAATAAATATTTAAGAATAGTTGACTCCATAAAAGATGAATCACTTTGTTTAATGGATGCTTGTGAGAATCTTTTACTTTTTTTAGAATCGACGAATTTTAATTTCTTTTTAACAGATTGTGCAGACTTGTTCTTCTTTCTGGTATCAGTTGTAGAAGTTGTAGACCTGGTATTATAATGTAGAATTTGTTCAATGATTTCACTTGTCGCTGACTTTTGGATGATTAATAATGAACTAAATTATACTGACCTAAGTGTTACTTACCCCAAGCACAATTACATCTGTACTAATGCGAAATCTTAAAGTTAATAATGAAAGAAATATCGTGCTAACGAACTGAATAACGATAATGTATTTTGTACAAACTTCTCTATATAAGTGAAATACTAATATTTCTTGATTTTATTCGAAGTAAGAGCGAAAATTGAAAACACAGTATGTATACTTAACGTCGATTAGAAATCAAAATTTTCCTTAGTTATCAAAAGAGACACCGAAATTGTAGTATTTTGTTTAAAGATGGTTGTATCAGTAGTGGGTGGACTGTTATTTATTAATCACTTTATCTTGTAAAAAGTGTAAAATTGGTTTGACTGATTGTGCTTTTATGTTTGCACGCTTATGGCAACATATAATACAATATAAATGTTGAATAAGTTAAAGTTCTGGCCTATGCATCTCTCCTGAGAGGGTATAGAGAAATTTGTCCAGTGTTTGTCGGCGGAGCTCACGTGATGAACTAGCTCTTAAAATTAATATTTAACAAATAAATTGGTACCAGTGAGAATCGAACACGTGTTGCTAGCGCAGTGTGATATTAAAGTCGATCGCTAACCCGCTGAGCCAACGGCTAGTTTTATTACTAATGATACTACTGTATTTGAAAGTAGCCAGGACCTATATGGGTCAAGAAAACCATCAACATCATAATATCTATGTGATAAATTTAATCACCAAAACTGGTAGATATTAAACCCTGTCCTGTCTAAGTGGCATGCTGTGAGGCAAAGGTGGCAACGCATCTGTAGCCTTCATTTGAAATCGGTGGCAGGTGTCGATGGGCTGCAGCAGTCACTTACCATCAAGTGAACAGTAAGTTCGTTAGTCACTTCAATTACATAATGTGAAAATCTTCGATTAGCGGTGCTAGATTCATGTGTCAGTATATTAACCTGCTGAAGTGTTTTAAAAGTAAGGCCACGGTGTTCGAAGTGTAAAAATTGCTGAAAGGTGGAGAACAGGGTGACTTTGTATATCTGACGTTTTTCGTTGGGAGACGTTTTAAAGCTACTGGATCGGACTGGTAAATATACAGTTTAAACATCAATGGCCATTACATCGCTCTCATTCGATGTGCTCACGTTACAGTTAATAATATGATAGAATCACTGGAACACCTTAAGCTACCTACCTATGTACTATTACATAACTATCGTTGAACAGCATGCCTTAATTTGCCTTAAATTATACGGACAATACGATCATATTGCAGGCCTTATAAGGAAGCTCAATCAATTATCAAACATTGCATTGGAGAGCTTGACTTTGAGCCTTAAGAGTTAGTTTGTGTTTGGCTCATCATGTTAAAATCCGTAACGAGAACATTAAATATATACAGATAGAGTTATTACAAATAGAATAGCTGATATAACCCAATGGGTCACTGAGCTGAAGTAGATAGATAAATAGATAATTTGTGGGGTAGAATATTTAGTAATGAACTTGTGATGGGCCGTGATGCTTGTGTTTTAGTTTAAAAACAATTATTTAAATAATTTTAATTATCATTAAAATTTAAATACCGTTCTGCGGGCATTTTATACGTTTCCAAATCAACGTCCATCGAAAGCATTTCAAGCCCCATTAGGATAACATCTTCCATAAAAGCTTCAGCATTACACAATATCTTAAAGAATGGCAATAAAGCTAATTAATAGATAGCTAGATAATAATTTTATACAATAGATATCGATTAGAATAGTTTAGAGTCGATGCAAAGTTATTTTAAAATATTACCGTATAATTTTCGAAAGGATTATCAACAACTGTAAGTTTGATCTCACAGTTGGTTTTGCCTTTTTCTAATGGACTGTAATGAACAGTTAGCGTCACTAATTCATTTGGCTTCATTGTCACTTTTAATGTGACGTTTACATTATCTGCAACATAATATATGTAGATTAAATATGTTTTACAACATTAAATACATATTAAGTATGTAAAATATTTTTACCATTATTTCCGTTCAAAACAATGTGGTCCGTATCCGGTTCGGCTGTCAACCAATATAACAGTCTATCTGCTTTAATTGATGGAGTAATATCCACTATAACCATAACGTTAATAGAACTTATATTTTTGAAAGATATTTGTCTGTTAGTAATAGAACCCAAACAAGTTACAGGAAATTCTAGTAAAGTAAGTCTATCTTTTTTGATTTGTGGATATATTAAGCGAATTCTAGGAATAACCCCTTCGCCTATCAAACATATTCTAAATGATTGCTCCTGACCTTCGATTTTTTTTAATTTAACTTCTAAAACGGCTTTGTATACCTAAAATATAGATGAGAAATCCTGTTTAAACTGAAAGATTTCACAATAGTTTAATTGGATACAATAATTAGAACGGGGCCCGTTACCTCTAAAGCTTTTGGACTGAAAATTATATTTAAGTTCTTGTGCATCAATGGTTCAATGTGTGTCTCATATTTATCTAAAGAAAATATTTCTTGATTGGAATTTGACTGGTAATGCAACTTCATTTTTAAAGCGCATGGTACTAAGCCGTTGTTGTACAAATCAATAGCTCCGACGTAATTTGTGTTTACAACTACGCCAAAGAAGTGCAGAGTAACTGTGTCTTCCACAAAGATACAATGGGGTGAAGGCTGTAATATTTTACTATTTAAAGCATTGTTAATAATAATTTCATAATAAAAATTAAGTGGAACTTAATTACCTCTGGTACTTTATATTCAGACATGTTTTTAATAATTAAATGTTCTCTAAACGTGGTTTCCAGATTCCAAAAGTCTAATGTTGGTATAGCTCCTGTACCAACCAATTTAAGTGGAACACCATTAGCTTCAGCAGGGCAAGTATCGCTGATAACAAAATGTACAGTTTCTTCGAATGTCTTTGCAGCGGTTGCCAAAAATTGTATTTGAATAGTTCTGCTGGTAAAAGGAGCTAGGAGATTGTCTTCATTCATTATAACAAAATTTCCGCATTTTAGTGGAGGATTTTTTATTCTAAACAAAGAAATGAAAGGTATTGACAATAATATAGTATAGTAGTAATTTGGTACATAATGATATTATAGGTATACAATACATACTTATTATCTTTTCCTTTAGTAGATTGAATAGTATCAGGATCTACTTGATATTCAGATGGTAATATAATTTCGTATGTAAATGGACACTTGCTTGTGTTGTTGAGAATAACTTCTCTTATAACTCCTACGCCAACTGGTATGACATGAAAATTCAATTCACCCAAAGGAAAAAGTGTGAAGCTGTAAATTTTAAAGAAAAAGTGTGAAATAAAAATAAGTAAATTTATCACTTATTTACCCTTTAAGTACATAAATTAACATACGTGTTATAAAACGATGCTATTGTCACACAAATAGGAAATTTCGCAACAATCGTCTGATTACTGCTACCGTCTAATAAAGTACAGATGTACGCCGGGACGTTGACCAAATTCAGCGAAGTAGTGGGCGTACATTCAAATTCTACGGTAACAAGTTTTGTTGTTGCTGGTAAGACACCACACTCTGGAGTGACTTCAAAAGATTTTAGTAATGACGGCTCCGGGAAATTCTTCACTTTTTTCAACCTTTAATGGAAATTTTTATATAGTGACAATATATAATTATTATTCGATATACGAGAACAAAACGCGGATTATTAAGCTGAAGTGCAAATGGGCTGGCCATATAGCTCGAAGAACTGACAACCGTTGGGGAAGAAAGGAATAGCCTTGTATCGGTAAGAGAAATGAGACCTCCCTAGATGGAGTGACGACCTGGTAAAATTTGCAGGAAGTCGATGGATGCAGCTGGCTCAGTACCGTGCTTTTTGTAATTCCGTGGGGGAGGCCTATGTTCAGCTGTGGACTTGTGAGGGCTGTAATGATAATGATAATGATGATGATACGTGTAAAAGTGAGAATGCAGCTCAGACTCATTTGTATTTAAAAAGTAAATACTGGCTGATAAAGCTGGAATATTTATCCTATAAAATAATTGATTATCTTTTGTTTATATCTTCGTATATAGTTTCTTGTAGAATGTTGGCAAAAATAGAAAATAACTTAGCTATAACTTGTTATGAAATAACGGAGCTTGCAAAATTTACTACGAAAGTTAATCAATATGCTCAGTCGCAATCTACAGTTGCACGTGGGTATGCTAAATTTAAAAGTGCCCATACGAAATGACAACAAAATGTGCAAAAATGGAACAGCAGCGACCGAAGAAATTATTAAAAAAAGTCGGAAAATTATTTTAGCAGATCATCATTTCGCGGTACGTTTCATTGCTGAAAAAACAGAGTTTTTGGCAGGTACTTTGCATGACATTTTATACGAACGCAATAGTAATACTCGTAGAAATGAAAAAAGTTTCCGCTATTTGGGTACCCAAAATACTTACCGATGCGCAGAAACAAACCAGACTGAACATTTCATGAGAATTTTTGGGACTTTTGGGGAGCCAAAACCTAAAGATATCAGGAGTTAGTTACAACTAAATCAAAATCGAGCCAAAATATATCAGAATCTAGTTGTAACTAAGATTTTGGCTCGATTTATAACTACATAGCACGAAACATTATTTGACTACAATGATCCGAAACGAAGTTACAGTCTATGGCTTGGAAGAGACCATCGTATCCAACTCCTAAGAAATTCATGATGAGCACCTCCGCCGATAAATCTTTTTTCAAAGAAATTTTTTTTGAGACTGGAATAGTCAAGAGGTACGTAGGACACTCAATAAGTTTTAAGATGTACAAAAAGTATTCTAGATACTATTAAAATTAATTTTACATCTTTTCAAAATATTCTCCATCATGCTCTATACAAAGTTCCATTCGCCTAAACCAACTCTGAAAACACTTTTGCCAGTCTTGATGTGACAGGTCGGAAATCGCTTCTTCGTAGGCAGTCACGGCTTCTTCCGCGTTTAAAAAAACTTGCCTTTTATTTTTTCTTTGACTCTTGGGAACAAAAAGAAATCACAAGGAGCTAAGTCAGGGCTGTAAGGTGGGTGACTTAGAGTTTCAACAACAGATTCCTCAATAAATGCTTTTGTTCTAAGCGAGGTATGTGAAGAGGCATTATCGTAATGCAGCAGTATTCCCCAAAGCCCAGTCTTTGGTCTTCTCTCCCGCACAGCTTGAAAAACTTTGGGTAATGCAACTGTAGTATACCATTCAGAGTTGACTGACCTATAATTTTCCAGCATTGACGTCGACAAATGTCCGCTCCGCGAAAATAAATTAGGCACCATTTTTTTGCCGACGTTGCGAGTTCTTTGCAGTTTTGTCGGTAACTGTCCTACTGAGTAGACCCATACCGATGATTGCCTTTTATTTTCCGGATCATATTATTCTATATATATGGGTCTCGTCACCAGTTACGATTTCTGAAACACGCTTAGATGCCCCGTTTTTAAAAAGTAGACGCATTTCATGGCACCAATCCACACGAGTCAGTTTTTCGCTTTTGGAGAGAAAACGAGGGATCCATCGACAACAAAGCTTCCTTACTCCAAGTTATTGATGTAGGATGGTATGAATGCTCCCCGAACTAATGCCTACAATCTTTTCGATGTCCGTATATGTGATTCGTGGGTCTTCTCGCACCAACATTTCAGTAGTCCAGACATTTTCTGTCGTTACTGTTGTTTGCGGGGCCCTGGTTCTTTGGTCATATTTAAGATTAATTTTACACCTTTTGAATTGAGCAAACTGCCTAAAAATTGTTGCGCGTGATGGAGCTGAGTCCCCTAATGCTGATTGTAACCGTTGTAAACTTAATTGTTGGGCTAAACTAAATTTAAAATCATAATATGTCACAGCGCGCAAATGTTCACGGTAAAGATCCATCGTTTTAAATGAAAAGCGCGGGGGAGCGTTGCAGGAAATTTAATAGAACTTTATTTTTTTTAATATTGAACAATTGGCTTATGGGGTTCTATTTTTAAGCTTTTTAGAAACATATAACACAGGTGCGATCTATTTTTAAATTTCGAGCATCTCAAAGCTCATTGAGTGACCTACGTAGTAATAATTGAATATAACATACAATAGACAACAAGTCATAAACGACCTTACTGTCCACCTGATTTTAAGTGTACATCTGGAACTTCAAAAAAAGAAAGCTACATATGCGTTGTCACCTCTGCGAACTAAGATGGCATGCATCACAGTCAGTAATTAATTACACTAGCTTTCCATACCCTTCAAACCGGAACACAGCAGAGCAAGCACTGTTTTTTGGCGGCATAAATAAATTTGATAAAATATCAGCGCTCGTTGCCAATGCTGCAATTAGAGATGCTGACTTTAAATTCACGGAATATATTACATCGTGTTTAAATTATTAGAACATTCTCCATATTCACCAGACCTTGCACCTAGTAATTACTATTTATTTACGAGATTGTAGGACTATCCATGAAACTAGAGTTTTGAAGATGATGAAGCAGTAGTCGCTCCATTAGTATTTGTCGGTGCTAAAGACGAAGTTTTCTACTGTTTAAAGTTTTTTGTGGTGACTATTAAATAGGGTGACGTATTAAAAGTTACTAGTAATATACATCAAACACTCACTTTTTATTGAACGCTAAAAGTAAGAAAAAAACATGCGTGCAGTTCTTACGAGCAAGATGTGAAACCTTCAAAAAATTGCGAGCTAAATTGCTTTATAACAACGTAAAATCTACTTAATTCTATAGGTAAGTTTATTTATCGAACAAAAATTGATTGACTCTCAAGGTGGTACGTAAAATAGACGCTAGATAGCCTAACCACGACTAATTTAATATAAATCGATAAGTTATGAAATTGTGGATTGTTATGAATAGACTCGTTAAGATAATTTTAATCAATATGGTTAATTTTATTTATTTATAATAAATATGTTTATTATTTTTAACTTTTTATTTTAACAATTAAAACTTATAATCATCTATAAAGCACCGCACAAAGAGGAGACCGAGATATTAGGAAACTATACTCGTATATTATCTATAATATAAAAATGAATCGCTGAATGTATTGCTAAGCGCAAATCTCGAGAGCAGCTGAACCGATTTCGCTAATTCTTTTTTTATAATATTCCTTGAAGTACGAAAATGGTTCTTACGGAGAGAAAAATTTAAAAATTCCCTGAAAAAGTCTAAAAACAACACTTTTCTATATTCCTATACAAAAGATTCGTAATAGTATTTCAAATTCAATTTGAACCTTAATACCATACCATAAAGTTTAAGTGTTAGTGGAGGGGTTCCGGGAAGGCAAAACAATTGAGTGACGTTAGTATCGTATAAATATTAATGTCAATATTTGTCAATATTTATACACACTGGCGGATAGCTGATGTTATAAGGAGTAACTTGGGCTGCTTTTATTTTAGGGTTCCGCGAAAGATAACTCCACGCAGGCGAAGTCGCGGAGAACAGTTAGTAGATCTATATATTTGTCTGTTTTTAGTATTGCGTTTTCGGTTTATCGAGTTTCAAATCACAACGATTTTAAAGAAGTTTTCCCTTTAAAAATAAGCAAGAGTATTTTACCAAGCACTTAGTTACTAAATATAAACTTCCCCTATAGATTGCCTCAGAGGAGGATATGAGCCGTAGTTGCCTCGCTTGGTATGCGGTAGTTTGAGTTATGATCAGGAAGATGCTGCTGCAGTCTTCTGTTTCATTTCCCCTCTGCCATCTCTTACGACACCCACGGGACGATATGGGGTAGTGGATATTCTTACACCGCCACTACCAAACACTTAAAAGTTACAGCTTATATACGTCCCACTGCTCGGCACAGGCCTCCTCTCATTCCTGTTAGGGTTATAGGGCAAGGAAGTGTCCACCGCGGTGCCCCAATGCGTGTTGGCGAACTTCACATGTCTTTGAATAAATTGTTTTTCTTATTTCTCAGACATGCAGGATTTCTCACGATGTTTTCCTTTACCGCCAAGCACGTGGTAAATCAGCAATTTGCAATTAACAATTTCATTGTTGTCGGCGGGGATCAAACCCGAGTCGCTCGCGTTCTGTGAAATTTACAGCGAGTGCTAACCATCTGAGCTACCATGGTTCTTACTTCATCTGAACTACCAAACACTTACTTGTAATAAATGTTATACTTTCCGCGATTCAATAGATACATCTGAAGTGCAACTGTTGAATTGACTTTAACGTTTCCGAAGTTAAGATAATTTTCATCCATGTTTTCATAAGCACATTCTACCATAACATCATAACACTCGGCAGAAAGATACAGCGAGACAACTATCATTGGATCCCCTCTGCCCTCTGAATCGTAAATCTGAAAGCAATTATTAAAAAAGCATCGTTTATGCGTGTAATCTCTCGGTCTCAAAACTAAAAATACTTGTTAAAATACTTACATCGATGAACAATATTTTGTTTGATATAATGCCTACTTTGCAGGCTATGTACGTTACGGGAACCACATGATTCTGATGCCTGGGTATTACACCAGACGTCTGGGATATTATGAAGTCCTCTAGAAATTCATTCGCGTTTCTTATTTTCCACATAATTGGCAAAATGGAATCATTTTTGACAATAAATCTGTCATCTTCACGACGATAAAGGAGATGTTTTCCGTAATCTAAAAAAGTTTTTGTTTCGCTTAGAAAGCACTGACAAGTCGGAAATCTCGTTAATTATTTCATAGAAATTTTAGACTTATTTAGCTTTTTTGTTAATAGATAGGCATTAATTGGGAAAATTATTAAATTCAATATCTTTTTATTGTTTCAAACCAATTATTATGGAGCTTTTTTTGACAAGAATGCCCGTATATTCGAAAACCTTAATACGTAAAATGTTTGAATAATTTAGTACTAGTACTGTTTTCGTTTTTTTTTTATAGGAGAGGGGGCAAACGAGCATGCGGCTCACCTGATGGTAAGTGACTACCGCCGCCCATGAACAACTGCAACACCAGGAAGGGAATTGCAGATGCGTTGCCGGCCTTTTAAAAAGGAGTACGCTCTTTTCTTGAAGGTCCCTAAGTCGGTCGGTCCGGAAAAATCGCTGAAGGTAATCGATTCCACAAGGAAGTCGTGCGAGGAAGAAAACATCTTCTAAATCGCACGGTGGTGGACCGCCAATCATCCAGATGGTGTGGATGGTATCGGGAGTTCTGCAGCGATGCGCGTTCGTGAAATTTGGCGGCTGGGATTAATCCGAACAATTCCTCAGAGCACTCCCCATGGTAGATGCGAAAGAAAATGCAAAGGGATGCAACATCTCTTCGCAGTGCCAATGGATCGAGCCGATCGGAAAGGGCTCGGTCGTCGACGATTCGAGCCGCTCTGCGCTGGATGCGGTCAAGTGGAAGGAGCTGGCACTGGGGAGCCCCTGCCCAGAGATGGGAACAGTATTCCATGTGGGACCGAACCTGCGCCTTGTAAAGTTGCAGGCGGTGTGCCGGCATGAAATACTGTCCCGCTCTGCTGAGCACGCTAAGCTTTTTAGAGGCCAATTTGGCCTTCTCTTCCAAGTGACCACGAAACTGCACATCACTCGATATGTCGACTCCGAGGATACCGATACTGGCTGAGGCAACAAGGGGAGTGCCTTGAAACTGAGGAGATACGACAAAGGGGTTCTTTTTAGCGGTAAACGCGCAAACTTGTGTCTTCTGAGGATTAAACTGGACTAGATTTAGTCGCCCCCAATCCGAGACTTTGTTCAGCAAAGACTCGACTTCAGACACAAGTTTGTTCCGGTACTCGGCGACGTTTTCCCGAGAAATATTGGCACGGCCGGTGTATAGAGCATCACCAGTGCTGTCATCCGCATAGCAATGAATGTTACCAGTTAGTAACATATCATTGATATGTGCAGAAGAAACAGCGTTGGTGATAGCACACAGCCTTATGGAACACCAGCGTTAATAGGCTTGTAGTCAGAACATGCACCGTCTACAACAACCTTGATGCTCCGATCTGCAAGGAAGCTGGTGATCCAATTGCACAATTTCTCGGGAAGCCCATAGGAAGGGAGCTTCGAAAGAAGCGCTTTGTGCCAAACCCGATCGAAGGCCTTCGTAATGTCCAGACTAACGGCCAACGCCTCCCCCTTGGACTCTACTGCCTCCGCCCATCTATGGGTCAGGTAGACCAGAAGATCACCAGCTGATCGACGCAGACGAAAACCGTATTGGCGGTCACTAATCAGCTGGTGATGGACAAGGAGGTGATCGCGATAGGCCTATAGTTGGACGGGTCTGAGCGGTCGCCTTTTTTAGGGATCGGGTGGACAAAAGCTGTCTTCCATGAATTCGGGACTACGCCTTGGGAGTAGGAGTACCGGAAAAGACGCGTTAGGACCGGTGCCAACTCCGGAGCACACGTCCTCAGCACAATTGGGGGGATTCCGTCAGGCCCACTCGACTTCTGGATGTCCAGGGAGAGAAGTGCTTTGCGAACCGAGCGCTGTGAGAACAGCACATCCGGTATAGAGCACTCACACCGCGGGATGGTCGACGGTGTTTTCCCCCCGTCATCAAGAGTTGAGTTGGACGCAAAAAGGGAGCCTAAAAGGTCAGCTTTGTCTTTTGCGTCTTGGGCCAGTGAGTCGTCCTCCCTGTGCAGAGATGGTAGTGATGGCTTACAGAAATTCCCTTGGACAGCCTTGGCGAGAGACCAGAATGCACGGGTTCCCGAAGGAAGGCGAACTAGTTTCTCGCCAATTCTGCCTATGTGCTCTGACGTATTTATATAAAATTATTAAAACTTATTAATTTACTTATTTTTCCTTTTTTTTAAAGGCTCGACAGTAAAATTACGACTAATAATATTCCTACCGTTATTCGAAATCTATGAATAAAGTAAATATCTTAAATGGTGGAGCATAATAATTTGAAGTTTGAAGTTATTGGGGGTTTTCTGGGTTTGTACATCTCTCTCCTATGAGATAAATGCAATAGTTGTCACGCTTGTCAGTTTATCAGTGTGATGACATCAGTAACGAAGGTGACATACATAGGGCGCCCTAAAAGCCTCTTTTGCAATTTCGAAGTTTTTGGCGGGAAGTCAATCGTATGTCAACTGTTTTTATCATAAGTTCGTCATCCGTAGAAAAATGGAATTAACGCGAAAAGATTTTAGGGTAATAATGATTTTTTATGATTTTAAAAGTTCACTCCCTCCTCAAAATTGCACTGCTCGTCTCAAAATGGTTTAGTAAAGGAAGCGTCGCCGTGTTTTTCTCTATGATAAAATTCGTGAATGTCGACCCTCAACTGTGCAACTGTGATCACGTAGGAAAAGTGGTTACTGTTAGGGGACTTATTGAAGTAAACCGGCGCATCACATATGAGGAAATTCGAGTATATTTCGGCATTTAAACTATTAAAGCTTTGTTGCCGCTAGATTCCTCATGAGCTCACCCCTGAACATAAACCGACTCGAGTTGATTGATGTAAAAAGAAGTTGTTAAAATGTGATTACCAATATTCAAATGCTGTGTATGACATCGTCAAAACAATCGATTAAATCAACTATTAAAATTGCAATTAACAATTTTATTGGTGCCGGTGGGGATCGAACATGGGTTGCTTGCGTACTGTGAAGTTTATGGCGAATGCTCACCCGATATAAAGATTCATCAAATCTCAAGTAAGTTTTCATTGGTTATTGAATAAACGAAAATTTGGAGAAAGAATGAAACGCTAATAATGCTTCTTAGCATATTCGCTTAAAACAAATCTTTATTAGAAAACATTGAAGTAATATGTACCCATAATAGGTCAATGTTCGAAAAATATGTTACTGTTACTTATGCCAAAGTTAAATGATAGAGTTCCCAGAACCAAAACACTACAAAATAAGAATATGGTCTTATTTTACCTATGATTTTAGTTGAGGGTAAAATTTCTACTTTTGGCACAACTCCACTACAGGCAATGTTAACTTCGACAATCTCTGGATTATTTTTAATACAAAATAGCAGAACATTGTTATGCTCTCCAATTACTGCTGGAGCAGCAGATACTGTTAGCTTCCCGCGACATTCTGGCTGCAAAGAACAAAAAAGTTAATGTTTTATCGATACTATTTATATAAATAATATACGTCGTAGAGCCACGCTGCACCATATTATGGCTGTAATACTAATAGGTTGACTGCACCTGGGAAGGACCACGATCGCACAGCGTGTTGAAATAGCAGCATGATGCTGCTGTCTTTCGTAAAGTGAGTGTCGAAAACCGGAGATCTTTTTTACATATTACGAGACATTCTATCTTAGTTCTCAGGGTGAGAACTTCTGCATTTTAATTCTTGGTTGCGGATAGATGTAGATCTATGGGTCACAGTATCAGATGTAATGTAGGCACGATTGTAATTATAGCCCATATAAAAAAAAAACATAAAAATAGATGAATGTATTAATTATGGCGGTACCTGCCTAGTATCGAGCAAATCGGCAGGATGTCAAATGGACATATGGATAATACTAAAGAAGCCGTAGCGTATCGATTTTAGATTTTTTATTATTTTGTAGTGAAACTACAGTTTATAAGTTGAAATTAAATGTTGAAATGGCCCTGTTGAATTGAGTGTTTGATACTTGAAGTATACTTTCACTTCCATAGCCCTTAAATATTATCTAAAACAGTATTTGTACCTCGAAATACCTAATATACATTAACCATATTCTTTCAAGAGCAAAAGACTACGAGTATTTAGTTTATAACATACATCTGATGGATTGATGGGCCGCATTAGCCACTAAACTATCGAGAATTGTATAATACTCGTATGTGGCCTGAATTGTTATTCAAACTTACCTCCAACTTTATATTCTTCTTGTCAATGCGAAATACATCAGTCTCAACTAAAAATTCGATTTCAACATCTGTCGTGACTAAGGAAGAGTTCTTTAAATCAATGACGTACTTTTCTTCATATATTCTAAATCAGTAAATAAAATAATATTATAGTAAAAGAATAAAATATATTCATTCTCAGTATATCCGATATTTTGAATCTGTACCTTTCCCTTTTTTTTCAATTTTAAAAGACCTAATTTATACATGGAAAAAAGCATTCTTGTTCTATTCGTAGAACTCAAGAGTAATAACGTAGCTACATTTTGATTTTACTTTTCATCATAAATAAATTATTAGTGCGTAAATATTATTCAAATAAGAAAAATAATATGTTATTTGTTATTTTTGTTTTGTACCACGGTTTTATTTGTAATGCTCCTTTTGATTATTTTATTACGTTGAGATTGAGTTGAGCTATATAATACAATAACTTACCGATTTTTTCCAATGAAAATTGGACCGAATTGAAATACTTTGACATCATCTAAATATGTTACTTTGTACACATTGTCTTCGATTGGTCTTCTAACAAAATTTTTAAACATTTTTTTCGGACGATTGTCCAATCTACAAATTGTATTAGGTATTGTTAGTAATTTTCTAGATTTTTATATAGGCTTAAGATTCTGAGTTTCTTTCCGAGATAATCCTAATATATATATCCTAGTATTAGTAAATATCATGCATATAGGACTTTATTGCAACATATTTTAGTATAAATAAACTTTTATCCAGAGAATAATTAACTTTGTTATACCACCAGCGACGTATAGATAAATAAATCTCTCTTACAAACATTTTTTTCTTTATTGATATTTGGTTAGTAAAGAACTAAAAACTATGTTAGTATATTTTAAAGATATTTTCAATAAAAAATAAATAAATGGCCCGATATCCTATACTTCCACAAACCACACATTCCCAGTGTTTTAGCATAGGACATTCAGTTCTAATTACAATCTAGGACTGTCTTGTATAATATAGCATGGTGATAGACACTGCCGCAGTCCAATGCAGAACATAGGCCTCTTTTAAGGTGGGCCGCTTAGCTTGGTCTTTGGCTTTACATATCCAGATGCTATTAGCCCCCTAGCGTAGATCGTCGTTCCATAAAAACTAGCCTAGGCAAACGTACTTAATGCGGGACGCATTACGTTTCTCAGGCACTGTTTCCACTCCATGACAGGATTCCAACTGTTGTCACTCCTGCGACATACGTGAGCAGCCTATTGCAACCCAGAGCTCAAAAATAACTGTAACTATAATGTAATGTATGTTAAATAAATTTTATTTCATTTCATTGCCATTTCAATTTATAAACATGGAATGTTATATCCGTAACACGGAAGACTAATCTTCCCAACGTCTACACCGATCTTAAAATTATTACATAAAATAGAATTCGAAAAATCATATATTATTCACATTTCTCTATTAAAACCTTCTTCTTGAACATAGGTATAGAACATAAACTTACCTATAGGAAACAAGTTAAACGAAAAGTATATTTACGTTTCAGAGCTGGGGACAAGCGTAAAAGTGACGTCAGAGCTAATTATTATGTCAGTGTGATTCCTAATGCCGGTGTGTCGGTAATGATGTGTTATACATGCCGTACTATGCAGTTGCAGTGCTAAGTGATGCCGAAGAGAACGATGGATCGGAGCAAGTGTCAGAAGTCTGCCTTATAAATCAGCGTTCAGCTGAGATGAAGACAAGTTGGACAAGCCAGTCTACAGTAGGAACTAATAACTATAGAAAACGATGTCTTCGCAAGTGTCCTAAGGTCTCAAGTAGTGTTCTAAGATATATGGACATTATAACAATTTTTCTTTATATTAACGTGAAATCTGTAATATATAACGTAAAAGTAAAATGTGTTTAGCATCACCTGTCATCAAATAAAATCATTTATCGAATAAGCAGTTATCTAGTCGTCAAATGGACAGATAGAGTTATTCCGTTATATGTCGAATAAACGCTTTTTGTCTGTTTAACTGGGAATTGAAAAATTGGCACTTAATGACACAGTCTTACCAGACTTACCTTGGTAAGTCGCAAATTCCAGTAACGTTGACCACCACTTGTGACGCCGGCCAACCGTTGACTTGAACGAATCGTTTCACATTGAACTTTCCTTCGACTTTTGGACTAAATGTATATTTACACCGTACTAAATCTCCCGTTTGTAAGATTATACGTTCTTCTTTATCTAAAAAAAAAAAATAGCCAGAGAAGCTACAAGTGTTCTTTTTCAGCTACCTCATTTTTACTAAAGTAAATAAGGATTAATGTAATTACATTATTCTTGCAAAGCATGGAAGTTACGTCAAATTACATCCAACTCTAATAAAGCCAATAGCGTTGGTAATACAATAGTAGAGTTACGTTTTTAAAATTATATTAAAGTGATATACGAGCTAACGACCCACCAAATGGAATGTAGCGACTGTAGCCCATAGACCTTTAAATAATAAACTCTAAATAAGACTGCAGACTACAGATGCGTAATCGGTTGTCACCCCTGCGGACTAGCATGGAATATCTCACAACTTTTAATTAATATAATCACGCCTCTTTCTCGTAGGGGTAGGCAGAGATCACTTCTTTCCACTTACTACGATCCTTACATACTTGTTTCGCTTCGTCCACTTTCATTATTCCCTTCATACATGCTCTACGGTTTAGGGTACTCTTGACCTGGCCTTTTTTCAAGATGTCCCTGATTTTATCTAGAAATGTCCGCCTAGGTCTACCCCTTCCAAAACTTTCATTCACACTCGCCTTATACACTTTTTTCGTAAATCGTTCTTCATTCATTCTCTCAACATGGCCAAACCATCTCAGCATACCTTTCTCAATTTTTGTCACTACATCTTCTTTCAGACCACAACGTTTCCTTATCTCACTATTTCTTATCCTGTCACTCAATTTAACTCCTATCATACTTCTTAATGCTGTCATCTCAACTGCTGCAACTGCTTTCATGTTTCTTCTGCAATACCCAACTTTCACTTCCGTACATGAGTGTCGGAACCAACACCCCCTCATGCACAGCCAAACGAGCCTTGTTAGACACCTTTCGACTGCTCATAAAGAAGTGCAAAGCTCCATTCACCATGTTTCCTGCATTCACTCTTCTTTCTCTCACACTTTCCATCTCTTGTAAACTTTGAACCCAGATACACAAACTCTTTCACCTGTTCAATTTGTTCATCTTCAATCACGATATTGCAGTCTGTCACTGCTTCGTCTTTTTCAAATACCATCACTTTCGTCTTCCTTACATTCATCTTCATTCCCTTTCTAACAAAAGCTCCACTCATAGCAGTTACGATCTCCTGCAACTTCTCGGCCGAAGACGCAAGCAATACTTGGTCATCAGCGTAGAGAAAAAAATTGACGAGTAACTCATTCATTCTCAACCCACTTTCATTCTCTTTTAAATCTGTCAAACAATTGTCCATGAACAGATTAAACAGCCACGGTGACGCTACACATCCCTGTCTAACACCTTTTTCGATATTAAACCATTCAGTATATGCCCCGTTTATCTTTACACAAGCACTAGAATCCCTATAAAGAGATTGCAATGCTCGTATGAGGATACTGCTCACACCGTTCACGGACAGTGCTGACCACAATTAATTCCTCACCACTCTATCATAGGCCTTTTCTAGATCTACGAACGCGCAGTAGACCTTCTTGTTTTTAGTCAAACACTTTTCGGCTATGCACCGCAAGGAAAAGACCTGATCCGTACATCCCATCCCCTTTCTAAATCCCGCTTGTGCATCCCATACTTTCTCGTCTGTTTCATTCACAACCCTTTCAATCAACACTTTCGCATACAATTTACCGACGACGCTGAGAAGGCTTATACCGCGGTAATTTATGCTGTCCTGCCGTGACCCTTTTTCCTTATACAATGGCACGATTAGGGCTTTGCACCAGTCTCCCGGTACTTGCCCATTTCGCCAGCACAGATTGAAAAGGCGGCACAGCTCACTAGTCACCAGGCCCTGTCCAGCCATCAGCATCTCGACGGTAATCCTGTCGTACCCTGCAGCCTTACCTAATCTCATACTTTTCAACGCTTTCACTATTTCATCCATGCTTACCAAAACGACAATGAATGCATTTCTTATTAGCAGCAGAAACAAGTCAATCAGACAGTCGTGCATACCCAAAAAGATTTCTAGTCAGAAAACTACCATTTAGAATTAGTATTATAGTATTATAAATTACATATATATATGGGTATTTACAAGCATTTCATTAAAATTTGTTTTTAAATGTATTACAGACAATAGCCGACCAATAATTGCAAAAATATTGGTGGTATAACCACCAATAACATAAATGTGAAAAAGGTTCAGTACAAACGACGACACCGACGAACGTGGTTGTCTTTAACGATAAAAAAAGAGATCTGAATTCTGAACGGTTGCCAAGCTGCATAGCAGTTGCTTAAATCATAGGTAGAATCTAATGAATGTACGGCTTTTGGAAATCCGTGTGACATAATAAAATAAAATAAATTATGGCCAAATTTTTATCAACTTTTCATACCTGTTTTAAAGCCTTCTACATTATAAATCTCATTACACATTTATTAAATATTTGGCTTGAAAAGAAAATTTACATACTTACTAGTAAATGATTTTACTTTATACAGAGGTAAAGGGTAAGATGTTATGTCCAATTTGCTATCGTCAGTAGACATCATTTCCGAAGGCGTTGGCTGGAATCCGGTAGTAGAAGTTTGTGAAGAAATAACCTAGAAAAAAATTTTCTTCATTTCATCATACTTCTTCCATCATACAAATTAATTGTAATGAAAAAAAATAAAACCCTTACCTTTTTACCACAACTGCAATTCCACTTAGATAGTATATTGAGAACATCATCTTGACATAAATCATCCAATACATTCAGATCGTTAATTAAATTACATTCACATTTTTTTATCTGAATTTAACAAAATTCATAATTAACATCTACAGATCATAAAAAACATTAATATATTTTCAAATTACAATAAATAATACAGAATCATACTGGCATTTCATCTAAATAACGCCATTCAAGTGATTCCTCCTCTTCCATAACGGGAAATATTTTCGGAAGTAAAACTGAAAATTCCTTTTTTTGAATTGGACCCTTCAGAATATCACTTTCCTCTGTTTTCTTTTTTAAAGCATTCTCAACTATAGGCGAGTATGCAAACATGTTCACCACAGCCTCTTTATAATTAATACAAGGGCAGGTAATAAGTGTAATTGGAAAACCTCTTTCAGTAAAAGATACTTCGGACATCTGCAATATTATTAAAAAAATAATGTAGCCTTGGGTCTAATAATCAATTTGTGTTTTAAACATATGATTTCACCTGTAAGTGTAGTTCAGACTTCTTTTTAGATTTCTTGTGATTATGCCCCACGACTTGACCGTTAAGTCCAATTAACGGAGAACCCAAGTCACACTGTTCTACGATCCAGTTATTTGCAATGTTTATTAGATTTTCGTAAATATTTTTATAATAATCATTATATTTTATATTCATCGTCAAATATTCGCTAGTTGGTTTTGCTGAAATAATAACTGTTTTTTAAATTTCATTTAAGGCAAGAAACCCAGCGGGACTTTTTTTTAAAACAAAAGAACAGTTTACAAGCATTAAAGAAGACAACACGGCTTTGTATTATCTTGAGTTGTTATGAAGAAGATGGTGCTAGCCATCTTCTGTTTCATTTAAGACACGTCCACGGGATGATATTGGACATTGATTATTTTATGCTGCCACTACACGGCTAAATATAATGAGTTTTGCTACTATATCATATATTATGTAAGAGTTCAAATCCATAATAGAAGTCAGTGTTGAATAGCGTTCATTTCAAAATCTCGTTCGCTTGACATATAGCCTATTAAATTTAATTTTATTTAAAAACTGTTAGATCAATGATATACAAACAGTGGAAGAGTTGCTAATCAATGCAAGGGCGGCCGTGATCATGTTCAAGATATGATAAAAAGGGTAGTAAAATGCTAGACGTGGACTCTCTCATTTTATGGACGATTTGCCTTAATCATAATTCTTGGCAGCAGCTATTTTTTTATATCATAGCAAACTTTAAACCCACATATAAAAATATTTCTAGTTTCAAATTACAACTAAAAGCAATCGCACAAATTATTATAAAGTGAAACTTTATGAGTTTCACTTTATAATAATTTGTGTAATAAATCAGTAAACAGTACCTTTTAAATCGTCCTTTTTCATTTTCTTTTTCGACTCTGATCTGTCTACAGTTATTGAAGACTTCGTGCTGCGAACTGTTTAAAATTAAATATTTTTATATAATGATTTCTTATATTTACGCGAGCACTACACATTGAATAATTTTATCACGTTTAATTTACTTAATTTTAATTCCCCACGTTTCGGGTGCTTTCCAGCACCCATGGTCAAGGGGAACAGTCCCCCGTGACCATGGGTGCTGGAAAGTCGGGAATTAAAATTAAGTAAATTAAACGCGATAAAATCCGTAAAAGTAGTTTTATTCCATATAAATAGAAAATATTTTTTAATAATTTATTTTACGCAGACTTTATTCAAAACTAAACCCAAAAAACTAATATATTTGTCGTGTTTTGTGTGGTTTTGTACAAATAGCTGCCGCGGCCAAAGTTTAATATTTTTTTAGTTGCAGTTGGTGTTGGTTAATTTAGTTTTGGTAGAGATCCACTACCCCGTGTAGTCTAATAGGGTTCGTAAGAGATGTTCGAGAATTTGTCTAAAGCGTAGCAAAAGATATTGTAACAGATGTCAGGATAACTTAGTGCATAGCCGTAAAGAGCTGTGATAATGAAGAGGCCGACTGCTCATCTACTCACCTTACACTTCATATTAGTGCTGCCTAAGGAACAACTGAGGTGACTGTTATGTGTAAAAAGCTCGGCGGTAAAGCCTAACATTATGATGGAGCCTGGATATCTAGGACTAAAATATTTTAAGATCATCTGAAGTCGGTCAATACTCACAGATCTAGCGCAGCAAGCTCTCTGTTTTCATCCTCTGAATAATGAGAGAAGGTTTGAAGTATTGTTTTATATGTCCAAACCTAAAGCACTAAAATGGAAATGGGTGGCAACTTCGTCAAAAAACGGGGCAAATACAAAACGCTCCAAACTGTAGGAAAGATCATTTGTAATGATGTGGTTGAGATGATTTAGCAAATAAACTAACCTTTATTATCCTTTTCTTTCACATCAGTTTCTTTAAGAACCCTGTAATAAATAACGATAATTAACTCGTAGATTGACGTAAATAGATTTCCATACGTGGTAGAGCCGTGCTGTAGCTACAGCATGGCTCTACCACAGTAGTATAGTTGTAGCACGAATTGATCGACTCTACCGGGGAAGGACCACGCTCTCACAGAATACCTGCGTAAAATAGTAGCTTAACACTGCTTTGTTTCATAGGGTGAGTGTAGAGAACCGTAGGATTTTTACTGGAAAAGAGGCATTTCTTCTTAGTACCCACGGATGACAACGCTACTGCATTTTGATTCTTTATTGAGGAGAGATGTAGATGTCTATGGGTCACAGCAACCACTTACCATCAGGTGGACTGTGTGCTCGTTTGTCACCCCTTATTCTATAAAAAAATACATTCATTTTCGAGAGCACATAATTACTTGAAAAAAAAATTACTTTGCTTTTAGACAGTGTTTCCTACGTCTGTCCTCTAAGCCACGCGAAATGTATATTGATCTTAGTTCTGGACTTGCGTTCTCATATTCCTCATCAGTCATGTTTTCAAACGAATTTACTATTTCTTGAATTTCACTATCGCTATATTCTTTATGAATAATTCTGAAAAAGAAAGACAAATGAGTGATAAGGTCTCAACAGTGCTTCTCAACTCCTTTAATTTGACCGCTTTCAGCGAATAGCGGCTCAAATCGTCGATGATATAGTTATTTTTGATCGCCTCGATTCATTAGCGCTGCGAAGGGATGTGTATCCTTTTGCATTTTTATCGCATTTAGCACGGGAATGCTCAGAGAATTAATTCCAGCCGCCAAATTCCGCCAACGCACATCGCGACAAAATTTCTTATACCATCCACACCATTTGGATGCTTGGCGGGCCAACACTGAGCGATTTACTAGGAGTTTTCTTCTTCGCATAACTTCTTTGTGGAATCCTTTACTACTACCTTTTCCGGAGCGATGCCACTTAGGGACCTTCAAGAAACGAGCTTACCCATTTTTAAAAAAGGAGGCTTTTTGGAGGCGGCAGTCGACACTTTTCATCAGGTGAGCCGCATGCTTGTTTGCCCGCACTTCTATAAAAAGAAATGTTTTTCGTGTTCATGCAATGTCCGCGCCTTACTCGTTCATGCTGAAGCTAAAGCATGCATTACCCGAATGAAATAGCAGCAAGTTGTCGCATGACAGAATAAATGCATATAGTAGTGAAAACAAGATAAAGAACAAAAACTACTTAATTTCAGAATGCTTTCTTTCTACGCTAAAACTTCTTTGTGTTTTTGTTTTGGATCATAGTGTACAATTACAATATAAATATCAAACAAAAAAGCTCCATTGAGTAATTTTTCTTGCCTACGTTAAAGAATGGTCACAGTAAGACTTATTTTTACGAAAATATATTCTAATAAGCTGAATCTGCTTATGTGTATAAATTGTAGTCGGCCGGATATATAATAGAAAACCCTTTTATATACCTATAATTAAAACAGATTTAAAATGAAATGAAAATAATTATTACGGATTTTATCGTTTCGGGTGCTATTGGTACAAATTATGCAGCTTTATGCGTTAGTAGCGCTGTACAGTAGCTGTACAAGCAGGAAAGAGGCTGCATAACTGCTGTATTACAGCTGTTATATATGGGGACTCCTCCCCGTGACAGGAATTAAAAAGTTAAATCAAACGCGATAAAATCCGTAAAAATTAATTTCATTTAATGTGTAGTCTTCGCGTAAATATAAGAAATCATTATGTGAACCAGTTTCAAAATTACTTACTCCTCTGTCATATCGTCATCTTTTTGTGATTCTTCATACTTTTGTGCCCATTTGTTGAAGTTTGACTGACATAAAACTAAATTTATGTTTGATATAGTGGGTTTACATTTAAGAATAGTGGTTAACACTATTGGTGGACTTCTTAATATTGCGCTTGTTAAGGAATCGATCACAAAACCCTGATCGAATTTAGGTTGATCGAAGAAGTCGGTTAGGAGCTCTTGAATTAATTCCTGGGGAGATAAATGTGTAAAATTACTGAAATAATTTTATTGTTTATATCTAATAATTTTACAACTCCACGGGTCACTAAGCTATGCAAGCTAGCTAGCAAAGAGTAGGCCATATAGCTCGACGAACCGACAACCTACCGATTTGTGCCATTACTTGAGTGTACATCAATCAATCTTTATTTGCCAACCAATTAGTGTACATAAATGGTCTTATAATAATAACAATTTGTCTCAACTTAGTAGCCTTTTTCAGGCATTGTAAATTTGGGAAAGAGAGATAAAATAAGTTATTAAATACAAACATTATAAAGTAATTAGATTAATGAATTAATAATATAGTCTTATAATTTAACAATACTAAATCGTGCAAGATATAAAGGCATTTATGACATTTTATATCAACACAATATTTATTCTTCTACTGATACTGTTCATAATATTTTTTGTGTATCAAAACCGCTTTTTCCTTTCTTATGTATTTTTGTTGTCTTAATGTTTAGGTATATTAGTTCTGTTATTTGTGTAAAAGATATGTAAATTGTTATTCGTGTTTTGCTTCAATGTATTCTTTGACTGAGTAGAAACATTTTTCTACTAAGAATGTTTTTAGTTTTAGCATTTTATGGTCTGTCTCTGGTTTAGCATTTTAATTCTTGATGGTGGTGTGTATAGGCTGACTCTGTGGCGTGTATTTAATTTTTTTTATATGATAAGGGTGACAAATGAGCACACAGTCCACCTGATAGTAAGTGTTTGCTGCAGCCCATAGACATCTATATCTATCCTCTATTACAAATCAAAATGCAGATGCGTTGTCAACCGTGAGAACTAAGATCGAATACCTCATTTCCAGTAAACAGAATCTCCGGTTCTCTACACTCACCATACGAAACACAGCAGCGTTAAGCTGCTATTTTACGCTGGTATTCTCTGAGAGTATGGTCTTTCCCCGGTCGAGCCGACCCATTCCTGCTACAACTATACCAGTAATATAGCTGCAGCATGGCTCTACCACTTAAAAATTGTGATTGTATTTTACTTTTGTGAAGTAATGTATGTTCTTGAATACAAATATGCAAATGTCAAATATGTATAATGATGGTAGTGTGAGTTATATTATTTTTAATGAAATAGCGTCTACAAGTGTCAAGATTTTCAATTTGGTAGACGATTCTAATACATACATTTCTTTTGCAGTATAAATAGATCCTGAAAGTGTACACTATTTCCCCACAATATAATGCCGTATCTTAGCTAGGAGTATGCATATGCGTAGTATGCTGACATGTGGTTTTTTCGTTTGTGCAGTTTGTGATGCATTTAAGTTGGAATAGAGAATATGTGAATCGAGAGGTTTTTATATGTTCAATGTGTGGTTTCCAGTTGATGTGTGTGTGTTTCCAGTTGATATTTATACCAAGTAATTTGAATGTATCTACGCTTCCTAGTTGTGGTTGTTGTATGTTGTGTCGATGTTTATGGGGGTAATCTTGTATGTTCTAAATTGGATAATTTTGGTTTTGTTATAGTTAATTTCTAAGTTAAGGTCGTCAGGCCAGTGATTTACTGTGTCTAGAGTTTCCCGAAGTATTTGTGTTGGGTTTTTGGTTTTATAATAAAGTAATCAATATTGATATATCATCAGCAAATAAGACGGGCAATGTTTGTTCCTTATTTAGTACTTTTGGTAAGTCGTTAATGCACACAACCTAATACGCTGCCCTGTGGAATTGAACATTTCATGCTCCTTTTCTCAGATCTCACTATTTTAACCTCATTTCTGTTGGAGTCGAAATGGTCAATTTGCACTATTTGTGATATATTTTCCAATCATTTAAACTATGTGTAAGCTGGACCGCGAATACCAGAACCGTGTAGTTTATGTAAAAGAATGTTGTACAGTACTTTATCATATGCTTTCGTCGTGTCAAGAAATACTCCCAGTACATGTTTCTTGTCATTTATATGTTTTAGAGCAGTCTAGACATACTTATATACTGCTAGTGTAGTTGATCTTGATTTTCTGAAGCCGTTTGACTGTCATCGAGGATGTTATATTTTTCTAAAAAAATCATATAATCTGTTTTTTTTTAACACTTTCGAAAACGTGGGTATCATATGCTTTCGTCATGTCAAGTAACACTCAAAGTACATGTTTCTTGTCATTTATATGTTTTAGGGCAGTCTGGATATAGTATTATACTCCTAGTGTTTTTTTATACGTGGTAGAGCCATGCTGCACCTATATTAATAGTACAGTTGTAGCACGAATGGTTCGGCTCGATAGGGGAAGGACCACGCTCTCATAGAATACCAGCGTAAAATAGCAGTTTAATGTTGCTGTGTTTCGTATGGTGACTGTAGAGAACCGGAGACCCTTTTTACTGGAAAAGAGGCATTCTGTCTTAGTCCTCACAGCTGACAACGTATCTGCATTTTAATTCACAAACGAAGATAGATGTAGATGTCTATGGGCCACAGCAAACACTTACTATCAGGTGGACTGTGTGCTCCTTTGTCACCCTTATTCTATGAAAAAAATAGTGTAGTTGATATTGATTTTCTGAAACCGTTTTGGCTGTCATCGACGATGTCATATTTTTTTAAAAAATCATATAATCTGATACACATCATTTTTTCAAACACTTTGAAAAGCATGGGTAATAGAGCTATAGGTATATAGTTACTAGGGGTGTAAGTGTCACCCTTTTTGTGTTTCGGTTTGGTCTATGTTTAGTATTATTATTATCCATGAGCAGCTGTGCAGGTCTAGAGAGACCAGTATCACTGCGACCTAAAATTATCGCTGCTATGTCTACAGTTCACTGATAAGCCCTGCGTCCTCAATGAATAGTTAATAGTTGCTTAGCTGTGAGTAATTTCACTTCTTCTGGGCGAAGTAAGTATATATTTTCCCAGATGAGTGTTGCGCAATTTATCAAGATGTGTAAAGGCGTTTCCTCTTCTAGGGAGCAAAACGGCACATCCTTGAGCTGCTTAGTCCCAGAATGGACATGTTCTTTTTAAGACAACAGTGTCCAGTAAGGGCTCTTACCAGAATGCGCAATTTATTTTTAACTAATCCCAGGGCTTCCGAAGCGAGTTTACGATCAAAAGTCCGGATTAAGGTTTTTGAATGTTTTAAGCCTGGTGTATCAGACCAGATCTTAAGTGATTTATTATGGTAAAGAGTTTCCAGGGTCAATCGGGCGAGGCGTTTTGATATTCCACAAAATGGCTCGGGTGCAAATTGTGTACTGTTTGAGCCCTCCCGTGCGAGCTTATCGGCAGTTTCAATGAAACTGGCGAGGCAATGGCCTACAATACCCGCATGACCCGGAACCCATCTTAAAACGACCTTGTTGTTACCTCCCAAGGCGTTTAACCGGTTCACGCAGTCTCCAACTAGCTTCGAGTTCACCAAGTTTGATCTCAGCGCTAGCAGTGCTGCTTGACTATCAGAGTTAATAGATTATATGGTTATCGTAGTGTTTTTGCTGAAGTATGGCGGAAATTTCTGCCTGGAAGATAGAGTATGTTCAGTAGTAAAATTTTGAAAGGTTGTAATGATGATGACGAATTTTTTTGAGGTTTTTATATGTATTTATTTAATTATGTATACATATGCTATACAAAATATATGTTGAGCTTGAGCACCTTATTGTTGTCAGTGTTTACAGACCCCCATGTTAAAGTTATGATACCTTTGAAAAAATTATGGAAGAAGTTTTAGTTAAGCTTAATAAACAGAATAAATCTCTTGTAGTGTGTGGAGACTTTAATATCAATCTCCTGGAAACTTCTTCCATCAGTATTAAATTTTATCTTGATAATTTATTCTTTGCTACACGTATTGCAGGGTGTAGTGCAACTTGTATTGATAATATTTTTATAGGTGTTGTACCAATCAACAAATCAATAATTTAAAAACTTAGTTCAGATCACTGTGGACAACTGGTTTCGTTACCTTATATGCACAAAAAACGGGTAATTGAGAAAATTGTGTTTGTTCCTATTAATGCAAAACGCCTGGAGAGATTTAGAAATATTATGGTAAAAAACCTTCCATCGCTTTCTTATAAGAACAATGCAGACTATTTATATGGAGAATTATTTACCCTTATAAACAATGAATTTAATAAAACATTTACTTCTAAAACATTCTCCAGTAACAGTTGCAAGGCATTTAATGAGTGGGCGACAGTAGGAATTCATAAAAGCAGACGAAGGTTACATAACCTTTACCATGAAAGATCATATAATCTTTCCGATGCTTTTAAAGAATATCTAAAAAAATATTCTAAAATGTTTAAAAGAGTTAAAAGAGAGAGAGAGAGCAGCCAAATTATTACATATTAGTAACAAAATTAAGACGGCTAAGAATAAAATTAAAATGACGTGGAGTATAATTAACAGCGAAACCAGTAGAGAAACATTGTAACTCAAACTATCAATTAAAAATTAATAATGAATTGACTAAATCAAATCAAGAATTTGAAGCGGTGTTTGAGAAATACTGAAAGTTTCGGAAATCAAGGAAGTGACACAACATTACTATTTAAAAATGTATTTATTGCTTTTCGAAGTATTCTCCGCGAAATTTGACACATTTTTCCATACGATGGAACCAATCATTGAAGCAACCATTCCATTCGGAAGTTGGGGTCTCCAAAATGGCCGTTTTGTAGGCGTCCACAGCTTCTTCAGGTGATGAAAATCTCTGTCCACGCAATTTATTCTCTATTTTAGGGAAAGTATAGAAATCATTAGGGCTTAGGTCGGGGCTGTACGGCGGATGGTCTAATAATTCTATGTTTTCTTGCTCTAAAAACTCTTTTGTTCTGTGTGCGGTGTGAGAATTCGCATTGTCGTGATGGAGGATGATGCGGCGGTTGCAGTTCTCTTTACGGAGTTCAGAAACGACCTGTGGCAAACAAATGCTAGCATACCATTCTGCATTAACCGATCTTTGTCCCTTAAGAGGAATAGTCGTAACATGACCGGTTTTGGAGACAAACGTGGCCACCATTTTTTTTGCAACACTCCGTGAACGAACAATTTTTGTTGGCTTAACTCATTTTCGAATACCCAAACTCGTGACTGGTTTTTTGTTTCGGGTTCGTACGCGTATATCCAGGATTCGTCACCTGATTCGATGTTGTATACAGCATTTGAGGATCCTGCGTGGAATCTTTCGAGAGTTATGACGCACCAAGTAACGCGAGCCGCTTTTTGCTCTTCACAGAGCGAATGCGGTATCCATCGGGAAAACAACTTTTTTACACCTAATTGTTCATGCAAGATTATTTGTATTTGACTCATGCCAATGCCTAAAGTTGCCTGAATTTTGCGGTATGTCACATGTCGATCTTCCTCAATCAGCTTACGCACAGCATCAACGTTTTCTTGGGTGACTGCAGTTTTTGGACGACCTTGACGGGGATCATCACTGAGCTTGACACGTCCACGTTGAAATTCAGCAAACTAGCGATAAATTGTGGTTTTGGATGGAGCTTCATCACCAAATGCAGGAATCATCCGGTCAACACACTGTTTATGTGTTAAACCACTTCGAAAGTCATAATAAATCATCTCTCTTGAATTTTCTCGAGTCAATTCCATTTTCTCAACGACTAAACAAGTTTGACAAAACCTTGTGACAAGACCGAGAATCTTTTTTTAAATAAATAAATGGTATTCGATTTTTAAAACCAAGGTGTTTTCAATTAAAAAGATTTTAATATGACAGGAACAGTGGAAATATTCCATTCCCGATACTTTTAGTGCAGCCTATGTATTTCACTGATGTTCCTATCTTGACAACAGAGTCATTGAATACTTCTCTAACTGTCATCGAGTCATTACTTAAACAGAATGTTAATACCTGTTTAAAACAATTTAGATTTGAAAAAGTATTACCGCATAGTATGGTAAAATACTTCAAAACCATTGATGTAAAGAAAACCGCAGATTTGTGCGGGATTCCCGTTACAGTGATTGCGTCCATAATAGATTTAATTACACCTCATCTTGCTATTATTTTTAATACTTGTATCGATTCTGGTGTGTTTACTGATTTAATGAGGTATAGTAAAGTAAGACCTTTATTTAAATCTGGTAGTGCTTTGGACCCCGCTAATTATAGACCTATTTCTGTACCACCAACTTTCAGTAAAATTTCTGAAAAAATACTTTTGGATCAATTGTTAATTTTTTTTAATACAAATAAATTACTTCATAAAACCACTTTGGTTTTACAAGGGGTCGCTCGACGTCTGACGCCGGTGTTGAGCTTATGAAATATATTTTTAAGGTCTGGGAGAATTCACAAGACGCCTTAGGTATTTTCTGTGACCTTTCCAAGGCTTTCGATTGTGTTCATCATGAGACATTAATCAGGAAATTACAACATTACGGTGTAAAAAATTTGGCGCTTAGACTTATTAATTCATATTTAAGTTTATATTTAAGAACTCAAAAAGTCGTAATCATTGGTAAAGGTTCCTCCGGATCGGTAGTATCAATGGGCGTTCCTCAGGGCTCGATTCTTGGCCCATTCCTGTTCTTAATCTATATTAATGACTTTATTAATTTATTTTTTTATAGAAATTAGGGGTTTACTGTATAGAATAGAATAGAATAATTTTTATTCAATATTGATTATTACATAATGCTTATTGAAAGTCATTTTTTATTTACCACTGTTTCGGAAAACACCCCAGTCATGGGAAGAACCAGCAAGAAACCCAGCGGGACTTTTTTTTTCAAACATGTTTCACTTAACAATAACATCGTTTATACAATTTTTAAATGATTTTTCATAGAACCAGCATGGTGGCGATCACCTTATTCCCAGGGGTTATTTTCAATCATGTATTCCTTGATATTATAATAACCCTTTTTGTACAGTTTTTCTTTAATAAAACTTTTAAACTTGTTTATTGACAAACTTTGAATATGTTCTGGGATTTTGTTGTAAAAGAGTATACAATGCCCCATAAATGAATTACTAATTCTGTGGAGTCTAGTAACTGGCATTACAAGCTTATGTTTGTTCCTAGTGTTTAAAGTATGCATATCCTCAATTTTTTCACAATCCCAATATTTTTAAGTCCTCATATTATGTTGAAGACTGGATAATGTGCTATATAAGATGTAAAAATTGGGCTTATGACAAATGTATGGGTGAAGAATGAACGTCGGCGGGTTATAAATACGATAATTGTTGTAATTTAAAACTAATTATTCATGTTAGTTCAAACTAAGGATTATATTTTTCTCCAGAATGTTACTCTTTATTAAAAAAGAAAACTTAATTTTGCTAAAATAATTAACTAAAATTCCGCTGTTTTATTTAAACTTTTCTTTAAGTGTTCGTGCTTATTCCACTTTCCGCAATGTATGATAATCTAAGCACTGATGCATCACGTATTTTAAAGCACTTCTGGCTATTTTTAATTTTTTTTTTAATTTTAAGTGTAAATAATTCAAATAAAATAAAACTAAATATATGTTTCGTTTATCGTTGGATTATTTCAAAGAACGTAATATTTTAAAATGAATTCTACTTATTAACAAAATATATTACCAAATTAAACATTGTGGTTGAACCCATGGCTTCTATTGCGGAATGAGATACGACTGACGTTGCCGATCTTTTTTTTCTTTTTTCACTGGCTTTTGATTTCGGCGTGGCGAGCGTTTTATTGTTTGTTATAATTTTGATTTTGTTCAACATTGTTTCAAATTCATCGATTGTTTGGTTTAATTCTTAAACAGAAATAATAATATTTTATATACCTAACCTCATTCTGCATAAATTGGACCAAAATCAATAAGTGAATTTATACGTGGTAGAGCCATGCTGCAGCTATATTATGGTTATAGCACGAATTGGTCGGCTCGACCGGGGAAGGACCACGCTCTCACAGAATACCAGCGTAAAATAGCAGCTTAACGTTGCTGTGTTTTGTATAGTGAGTGTAGAGAACCGGAGACCCTTTTTACTGGAAACGAGGCATTCCATCTTAGTCCTCACGGGTGACAACACATCTGCATTTTGATTCTTAATCGAAGATAGATGTAGATGTCTATGGGCCACAGCAACCACTTACCTACCATCGGGTGGACTGTGTGCTCGTTTGTCACCCTTCTTCTATAAAAAAAAAGTGAAAGCTAAAGGTACAGCGGGTTACTATGACTATACTATGACGTAAATCACTGCAGTCCCACCGTGACCATGGGTGCTGCAAAGCACTCGAAACGTTGGGAGTTAAATAAAATGGGATAAAATCCGTAAAAGTAGTTTTATCTAATGTATAGTGTTCGCCTAAATATAAGGAACAAAAGACGTAATAAATTATAATATCGACGTCCAATGACGTCCCTCGCAATCAAAGAGAATATAACCACTACGTTTACGCGCAATCACGATATAATCCATATTAATATTTTTTGTTACTTTGTACTTGATTTAGCTATGTAAAAATCCGATTTACGATTGGCAATTTGTGGTGGTACGCGATCATAAGGATCAAAAATCAGATGCATAGTCTCCTCTTAATACTATGGGCGACCAACAAACAACTGTTTATACATTGAAAATGCTGTGAGAGTGTATCGGACTTACTTTGCTGTCATTCCGGAAAAGACAGAACAATGTTAATATCAAATCCGGTTCCGTGGCGCAGTGGCTTAGCAATGAGTTGCTGCGCTAGGGTCCGCGGGTTCGAATCCCGCACGGAACAAGTATTTGTATGGCCTACAAATAATTGTTCCGGGTGTCTGGATGTTTGTCCGCGTGCAATTTATATTTGTAAACTGCCTCCATGATACAGGAAAAATCCTAGTGTGGGGGTAACGTTTTTTATTTAAAAAATTAAAAAAAATAATATACAATTAATTGTTAGTTAACTAGTGTGTTTTAATATCAATTTCTGCCGTAGCCGACACAGTATTCATACAAATAAATAATTATTTTTATAATCTATACGATACTATTTTAAAGAAAATGATTCACGGTATTTGTGTGGCTTAACTGATTGAGTTGAGAATATTTAGCAAAGCAAAGCCTTTTTTGCTGATCAATACATAATACTTGTATTGTGCTTAATCTCACGCAACATGCAGAATATTATAAAATAATAAAAAGAAATCATATGCTTCGTAGCTATTAATAGAGTTACTAGCCGGCCTGGCACACGTTGTTCTGTCCTTTCCGGTAGATGGCACGATGAATTTAATTTTGAATTCGCTCCGAACTTTTTACAGAGTTAATATAAATGTAGTATTAATGACCTTGACGTCACTTTAAAATATTAACATAGAACAGTAAGCCCAGGGTTCACAAATTATCAAACAAATGCATTCACTGCAGTACCTGTATCTTACACCAATATCTTACATTAAATATGTTATAATCTTAATACTATCATAAGTACCTTCAGTTTGATCCTCATTTATACCCGCTTTGTCTATTCCAGACTTAGACACCTCGTACATTTCATCAATGACTCTATTCAACGTTTCTTTTGCTTGACAATTACTGACACATAGCGCCTCAACGAAACATAAATCAACACTTAAAGTTGGTAGCTTAAGTTTTTTCCCAACCGAATATGCAATTTCTTGACACTGTTCTTCTAAAATTTTCAAAAAAGCATATTTACCTCAACTCATTTTAACCTTTTTATTTTATATAAGTATGTATAAAATTTAAACCTTCGCATGGGGAACCATGAAACAAAACAATTAGACAGTTTGAATGTATTTCCGAATGTGTATCCGTTGTCATATAATCCAGTTCTTGTAGACAATCTTTTAACGGATCAACGTTATTTTCTTTCATTTTTTGAATTTCATCTGTAAACATGAATATAGGAAACACAATGTTTTATGTGCTACAAAATCGAAAACTGCTGACACACATCCTAATACTGAGCACAGGGTTCCCTGTTATTGCTGACAGGGTTTAGATACGGATATAGTCGCTCTACCCAGCGTAAATGCGTGTTGATGAACTTCACGTCTTTGAAAATTCTTTAGACATTTTTTAGACATCACGATGTCACCTCAATATTTTTAAGTACGTCATAAAGGAACACTTTGAATTGCGTTTCACAATTTTAATGGTTTTGTTGGAAATCGAATACGGATTGCTCGTAGATATCCTATAAAATTAATAGCAAGCGCAAAATAATGTTTCATTTTGTAAGACATAGTCTGTTCGCTTAGATACGGTCACCTTTGTGTCGCGCCACCATGGCACGTGCCGCATTTTGTCAAAGGCGCCTCTAAACCAATGGTCTCCGCGTGCGGCGTACACACGTAGGAGAGTTAGGCATTTTAAACCAAAGCGCCGCGTCGCGCCGTTGTGAGAGGTTATTTGCTACCTAACTTGTGTTTAATATTTATATTCGCATTTTATTACAATAAACATAATAATGAAATTATATTCTATTTTATTCTTAAAATAGAAAATACATTTATCAACAATTATCATGAAAAAAGATTTTATTTTATTATTTTTATTGTATATGTTACACAATAAAAAATAATAAAATAAAATCAAAATAATAAGTGCGCCTCCGGGTGTACCGACACTATCTTAGTGAACAGACTAAATGTCGAGGAAAACGCTCAATTGCAAAGTAGTCCGTGAATACTCAAATTTCATAAACAGTAAAACTGTCATATAATTAATAGAATCAGGCGTTACTTTGCGGAAATCCATTATATAAAAGCTTTTACAAAAATTTACTTCGCAAATATCCGCGTTATAAAATAAAATGATGTGTCTTACCTAGTATGAAGAAGCACCTCCCGCCCTCCCTCAATTGCGTGCACTAACCCCGTCACCACTAATCCCAGCACCGCTACTCCCAACACCACTACACTAGGCAAGACACACCACTGATAAGTCTTCTTCTTATATATATCTTAGCGGTTAGCCACCGTAGAGTCTATATCACCTGAGGATGCCTCGTGTAGAGGCGAAACACGTGTCGTATTATCGTCAGTGGTGTGTCTTGCCTAGTGTAGTGGTGTTGGGAGTAGCGGTGCTGGGATTAGTGGTGACGGGGTTAGTGCACGCAATTGAGGGAGGGCGGGAGGTGCTTCTTCATACTAGGTAAGACACATCATTTTATTTTATAACGCGGATATTTGCGAAGTAAATTTTTGTAAAAGCTTTTAGTAAAACTGTCATCAAAAAACTAAATATATAAAAATAATATCCACAAATATCTTTAGAAGTCGGGGCTTTAATTTATCAATCGATACATTAGGTGTAGACATCGATTTTAGAAGCTATGAAATTATGTGAAAATTATTTTATGCCATTTAGTTTTTAGAAGTTAGTTTTTCCTTTTAAATAAGAGCCTGTTATTGAGTGGGCTAAATACTATAATAGGCTCAAGGTAAAAGTAAACAAACATTAAAATCGGTCAGCAATTGACGAAGATATAGCTAAGCTTATATTAAAAAATGTAAGAACGATTTTCATAACACACTCACTGCACTGAAATTTGCAACGTTTACGAGGGATCAATATATTAATACTACGTAGATGAAACTCACTCGCTTGTCTTCACTCACTTTCGTGTTAATAACTTTATCGTAAAAGCTCATTACTTTTTTTATTCGTATTTCATCAAAAAATATAAAAAAAAATTGTCCCGTTTGAAAATAAATATTCCTTGCAATTGAAAAAAAAATCGGTTTAAACAATATGGCCCCGAGTTGCCCGATGGCAACATGCATTTATATCATCAGTAGGACAATTTGAAGAGAATGGAATAAAAAAATTGAGGTGGAATAGTTTTAGGTACTCATGCGCCGATTCCTCCTGGACTATATGCGATTGATTTATGTTTTTGGGGTTTATTTCATGGGGCTTATCACATGCCCTGCTACCTACCAATACATCAGCTTTAAATAGTAGAGAGACCTTATAACGTTTACATCTTTTTGGATGTTAAATAAACATTGCTAACCTTCGATGATTTCCACTTCAGTTCGGTGATGTCTTGGAGACACTTCTAGTGATCGGCTTCTAGTTCTTATTACATGCTTAGGACTTTTTGTTTTTCTATCATGCAAAGTAAATAAGTAATATTATACTTAAAATTACAATAGAAAGGGAGATTTCACATGTATATAAAAGTTATATTAACGATAAAATTGGTGTAATATTCGAAAGGACATACTTTATAGACAACGTTTTTGGCGTAAAAGTCTTGGAAGCATCTTCTTCTACATACCTAAAATTTGTAATATCGATTTTAAAAATATTTTATACACTTTATCATTAGGTAATAACATTAAACCTATATTACTTTTTAATGTGTTCTTTGAAGTTTTGATAAAATTCTCTTATTTCAGACGGCAGCCCGGAGCCGGGATTGATTGCGGGAACAAGCATCTCTTCTGGTTTGTTGTAATATTTATCCAAAAGTTGGTAGATTTCTTCTTCTTCTTGCCATTTCCTACAAAATGATGCAATAAAAATCTTAAAATTAATATAATTAATAGAATCAGGCGTGACTTTGCGGAAATCCATTATATAAAAGCTTTTACAAAAATTTAAATTTTTTTTAAGTGGTGTTGGGAGTAGCGGTGCTGGGATTAGTGGTGACGGGTATAGTGCACGCAATTGAGGGAGGGCGGGAAGTGCTCTTCGTACTAGGTAAGACACATCATTTTATTTTATAACGCGGATATTTGCGAAGTAAATTTTTGTAAAAGCTTTTTTCTTAAAATTTATTTTAAGTCTAACACGATAACGTAAAAAAATACAATAAAGCAATCATATTTGAATTATCTCATAATTTTGATTAACACAGAAATAAAAAGTAGAAAGTACAGTAAAATATAAAAAGGGTAAAATATATTACAACCTTACAATAAAGAAGTGATGAAAGTATGAATAAAGAAAAGGGTACCTTATTAAAAATAATCTGAAGTCAAAAGGCTTTATCTATACATGAAATACCACTGACTGACTGACTCATCACGAGATCTCCAACCCAATGGATTTGAAATTTAGTTTAGTTACTAATTTCGCAATGTACGGATTTTACGATAGTCCCATCAAAAAAAAATTATAGTAATTTAATAGTAACGAACATAAGTACTGAGAAAAAGGTTGACGAAGAAATAAAGAAAATTATCATAGGAGAGAGAACCATATACAAATGGTTTAAAATAAAAAAGGAAAAAAAATAGCAAAACGTAGAGGGAATTGATAAGCGCGATATACAAGGTAAATATTAATTTATGTTTTCCTAGAAGAAGTATCAGAAAGAGGCTGCTTGAACCACTGTCGAATTCTGATTCTAAAGTGATTTGCAATTGAATTGCTCAAATATTAATTATAAATAGAAGTTTTGAATTCGTTTAAACTCAAATAATAGTCTAGTAAAGGATGGGGAAGAAGTAGGTTACGCAGGAACAGTAGCAGTAGATAGCATTAGGAAGAAAACCGAATCGTTTTATAATATTTCAAAATACACTTTCATTAACTAACAGTACTATTGGTTATGTTTGTAATAATACTTATTCCCAAATATTTTCGACTTGCTTTTCAAAGTTTGAATTTAAAATATAATTTTTATTATTTTTTGTTAAAAAATTACATAATATTCATGTATTCATTGATGAGTCAATATTATAGCTAGTTAGAATGTAAGTTGAAACTAAATACGACTAAAATTAATTCTAATTTGTAGCATTCGTGTAAAATGTAAGCTACTTTTTCCACAATATTTCTTTTTCTAATCATTCCAATGTATTTGAATTTTGTAACTTATTTGTGAAATAATAAGATGAAATTATTACTTACGTATCACTATGTGCTATTATGAGTTCTATTGGAAACGGACACGGGTTAGTCAATCCGAAAAAGTATTCTGTAGTTTCGGCCCAAGGCAGAGTTGGCGGGAAGCTTATGTTAGGTCCAATAATGTGAACTTTAGGTAAAACGCCGTGTCCTATGATTGGTATAGTCATTCTTTTTGGATTCATATGGAATCTGAATATTAATAGACCTTCATAGGTTATCTGCAATTAAAAAATTTATATTATCTTTTGCATTATATATATTATTTTTGTGTTAAATAATATAATTTTTCAAAATCCTGTGAATAGAGGATCATTATAACGATACTTACTTAAGATATATCTAGCTAATGCAGCCTTGAATAAAGTGCTAGTGTCCAAACTTTTCAACATAAGAATAGAAATTTGCGTGATATGCAAAACTGTCATAAGGCCTATACTGATGTACGGTTAAATATCATTTGATAACAGTAATTTAAAAAAAACCTTACCTCCAATGTAGGCTTGAATGCAATATTAAGCCAGCCACTCTCCCCAGGCTCAAACTTACCCGAGCTATCTAACACCGTCATTTGGCTCATCCCGGGTGATTTAAGCTTTAACGTTGCATACCAGATGCACGTTGGCTTGCCACTTTGTAAAAAAAATCAATGTAACATACAACTGGTTACAGTAATCGAAACTGGTTTTATATTACTTAATCTGATTAACTTACACATTTTTTAACGGTATCGAATAAATCACTTTGTTGCCACATTTCACGCAGCCAAAATCGATTAAATCAATATTAGAAACCAAATAAGGAACTGCACAGAGTGCTTTTAAATTCACCGGGATCGTGACTCCGTAGGGCACCTTTAATTTACAAATTTATTAGTTATGTAAAAGTAAATAATTTGGTTATAAATAAACGGCTCACTGGGCGCCGGTCTCCGCTCATTAGAGCCTCCATGGAGAATAGTCAACTGCGCTGCTTCAATCAGTGGCATGTACATGTACGGACATCATACATTATGAACTCGAAATATTTTTAATTAGCTGACACCCGCGATTTCGTCTACGTTGCCTACATATATCACTGGAAACGTAGAGCTTATAAAAATCGTTGTTTCTTAAAACTTTAATAATTTTATGTTAAATGAAGATATCGCAATATTTTTTTTAAATAAGGGCCAAGTGTCTAAGAAATAAAACTTAGAAAACCTAAATGAAATCTATTCAGTAGTTTTCCCGTAATGCGCTACAACTACAAACCTCTATCATTTTATTTATATATGTAGATGTCCAAGACCAAAACGACGAACGATTTCCTCACGATGTTGCCCTTCACCGCCAAGCACGTGGTATAGACTACACTTAAAATTGCGATTAATAATTTCAGTGTTACTGACAAGAAAATTAACAGTTATTTGTAGTGTGCCTTGGAAGAGGCCTATTTCCAACAGCGGACTGCCGCAGGCATGATGATCTATCAATTTATAAGTGAGCACCCATGAGTTACTACGGTGAAATGTAACAGTATTATTCTAAAATCTAATAATATAAAAGACATGGTTTAATACCTCTAAATGAATTACAGTTTCAACATTCTGTTCTTCATCTGGGAAAGCATCGGCGGTGGGCGAAAAAGTAACATCAATTCGTCCAACTTCACCTGGGTTCAGTTTTCCGCATAACTTTAAACTTAACCAAGCGGGAATACATGTGCTCTTGCTCAAATGTAACTTGGTTATTGTTGGACTATAATTTATTGCTTCAATCGTGTAGTGTACCTAAACAAAGAATTATATAAAAGCAGTGTAAAGAAATAACGCACAAAAACCATTATTACGGACTAAGGAAGCATAAGTGAAAAGGATAACATTCCTATGACAATACAAAAATAAACGCATTTGAACTTATATAAATGTAATTTCATTTTTTTCAACCGATTTACCTCAGACCTTTTTTCTAATCGAACCCATTTCGATGATTCTTTTTTTTTTTAAAGCTGGTGCTCCTCATGTAGTCCCATATAAATTTGATCAAGATCTGACCAGTATATAGTGACTTTTGAGTTATCCTTATAATGCGTATTTAATTGACTTCGACTACATTGATGAGGTTCTCATTTTTATTAATATTGAATTCGGTTGCACAAAATTTTTAATTTTGTACAACCTTGGCAAATAAAAATTTTAATTGTTATTTGCCAAGTAGCGGCGTTATTTTAGCAGCTTAAATAATATGGAAATACAGCAAATTCAATAAAATTAGTATTTTACTAGTTTTTTTTATAGAATAAGGGTGACAAACGAGCACACAGTCCACCTGACGGCAAGTGGATACTGTGGCCCATAGACAAAAAAAATGGACGTCCAAGGATTTTTAAGGATAACATCTTCATGTTGGTTGATAGTTATATGAACAACTCCTATTTTTTACTATCCATCCAGTATTATTCTACTCGATCATCTTATAATAATGTAATTAAAATGCATTTACCGTACAACCCGTAATGACTACGCCGAAATCTAGAACATAAGGTGTTGAAGTAAATCCTGAAATTGGCCTTGTTCTCGTGACAGTAGAGTGTACAGCAGCATTCAGCACTTCAGGGTGCTTTTTTAGATAATTTATCAATAAAATTCTTTCAATAGACATTTGTATATCCATGATAGACGGAAACGCGTCCTGGGAAGCATAAGGTACGTCAAATTTTTATCACACCATGGCATGGCTTCACTGGTAAAGGCATATATCCTATTTTTGTTAAAGTAAATGGAATAAAGATAAAAATGTATAGATAATAATATAAAAATTATCGGCTTATAGGTAATTTACTAAAAATTTAAAACATTATCTTTGCTAATCAGTATTCGACACAAACATCCAGTACGTATGTAGCAGTATATAAAGTCTACATTTTAAGCATCTGCTTAAAATGTAGACTTTATATACTGTTACATACGTAATAAAAAGTCTACATTTTAAGCATCTGCTTAAACGAATCACTACAAGCGCATTGTGCGGCGACATCCCATTATACGAGGTTGTTTGGTTGACGATAACTCAAAGACTAATGATCTAATTACAATAAAACCCGGTATTTATACTAATTATGAGCTGCTCAATTAGCACGTAATTCAGCGACGTCTCCACTTATTACCTACCTACCCATTCCGTGAACTTAAAAATGACCCCTTGTAATAAAGAGACGAGTTGTGACGAAAAGGTAGTTGGATGCAGTGGTTTAACACTCAGGCCATGTTTTGTGGTATTTCAAAGGGGCCTATAGTATGCAGCAGTGAAATTTCGATCGGCTGCAATGATGGTACTCATGGTTCATAATCCGTTTCAATCACCGCTACAAATTATAATTAATATAATATAATAGCAATTATAATTAATATCAATGATATGTTGCAAACCAGTAACATTAATTGCTATGCAGACGACAGCACTGGTGATGCTTTATATACCGGCCGTGCCAATATTTCTCGGGAAAACGTCTCCGAGTACCGGAACAAACTTTTGTCTGAAGTCGATTCTTTGTTGAACAAAGTCTTAGACTGGGGGCGACTAAATCTAGTCCAGTTCAATCCCCAAAAGACACAATTTTGCGCGTTTACCGCTAAAAAGAACCCCTTTGTCGTATCTCCTCAGTTTCAAGGCACTCCCTTTGTTGCCTCCGCCAGTATCGGAATCCTCGGTGTCGACATATCGAGTGACGTACAGTTTCGTGGTCACTTGGAACAGAAGGCCAAATTGGCCTCTAAAAAGCTTGGCGTGCTCAGCAGAGCGGGACAGTATTTCATGCCGGCACACCGCCTGCAACTTTACAAGGCGCATGTTCGGCCTCACATGGAATACTGTTTCCATCTCTGGGCAGGGGCTCCCCAGTGCTCCTACCACTAGACCACATCCAGTGCAAAGTGGTTAAAATCGTCGACGACCAAGTTCTTTTCGATCGGCTTGACTCACTGGCACTGCGTAGAGATGTTGCATCTCTTTGGGTATTTTATCGCATCTATCACGGGGAGTGCTCTGAGGAATTGTTCGGACTAATTCCAGCCGCCCAATTTCACCATCGCACATCGCGACAAAACTCGCGATACTATCCATACCATCTGGATGATTTTTTTTTTGTCCACCACTGTGCGATTTAGAAGAAGTTTCCTCCCTCGCACAACTTCCTTGTGGAATCGATTACCACCAGCGATTTTTCCGGACCGATACGTCTTAGGGACCTTCAAGAAAAGAGCCTACTCCTTTTTTAAAAGCCGACAACGCATCTGCAATTCCCCTGGTGTTGCAGTTGTTCATGGGCGGCGGTAGTCACTAACCATCAGGTGAGCCGCATGCTCGTTTGCCCCCTCTCCTATAAAAAAAGAAATAATACATAATAAAAAAGGGTTATTATAATATTAAGGAATTTATGGATGATAATAACCCCTGGAAATGAGGTGATCGCTACCAAGTTATTTCTAATTTGTTGTGTTGTTAATTTGTGTAACATCATGATTGTAAGCTGTTATTTTTTAAAAAAAGTCCCGTGGGTTTCTTGCTGGTTCTTCCCAGGACAGGGGTTTTTTCCGAACCAGTGGTAATCAAACAAAAGAGTGACTTTCAATAAGTATTATTTATAATCTATATTGAATAAAAACTTTGTTTCTGTTTCTGTTTCTATAATATATTAACTATAATTAATAATATAATCAATACAAAGATTGACGTTTCTATAAGAAAAGACAAATGCCTAGTTGGTCTAGTGGTCTTAAACGCGACTGCTGATCATAAGGTCTCGGGTTTGAATCCCGGGTCAGGCCAAAGTAATCAGTAATTGATTTTGATTGATTTTCGGTATTTCACTCTCGGAAAGCACGTAAAGCCATTGGACCTGCGCTTGATCTCTCTCCGGTAGTGTCGGATTGCAGTCCCATCGGGCTATGAAAGTAAGGGAATATAGAGTGCACTTGTGCTTGCAATAATAAATATGTATATATATATATATGATAATAATGTAATATATAGGCCTATTCTTAATTCCGTAACAGTCGGGTTTTTACAAATTCCACGGTCATTGAGGGACTGAGAAATTTGCCGTCCTAATACCATAGTTAATTCAAGCTACCTTAACCCATTCACTGTCAAGTATACTACATATAATTCATTGTTGTTGTGTTACTTTTTGTGTCTATCGGACACAAAAAGTAACTGATAATCGGACAGTGAAAGTGTTCTAAGTATTAATTTTTGCTCGCTTAGAATAAGCTTACAGTATCTTGAAATCGTGTACGTAGTGGTTGTCTTGGTTTTGTCACATGAGTAAAGAAACCGCAGTTTTTTTTCGTGGATAAATTTTTTTTCAGAGAGCACGAGGGATCTGTGACAGTAAACACCTGGCCGCCGAGCTTCAACACGTCAAGCAAGTTTTGCACGACAATAAGCTTCGGGTCCTGCGCCTACGTTACAGTGAACGAGTGAAGCCGGCCACAGTCGAGCGAGTACCTGCTGTACTGCCATATGTCAGAGGTGTCACTGACAAGATTGGCTACATCTTGAAGCGTGCTTCCATTAAAACATATTTCAAGCCGCCGAAGAAGATTTTTACCATCAGTCAAGTGTAGTATTCCTCTGCAAGATGCAGGAGTGTACAAGCTGGATTGTGAATGTGGTCTCTCTTATATAGGACAAACTAAAAGATCCATACAAACCCGCGTTAAAGAACACATAGCTGATGTGAAGAATAGACGCTCCGGGAAGTCTGCAGTCTGTGAACATGTACAGGATCGCCCCCGTCACTACATTAGATTTGATAGACCACAAATCCTCGCTAAAGAACATCGATTCCTTCCAAGGATGATTCGCGAGGCTATTGAAATCAAAAAACATCCTAATTTCAATAGAGAAGATGGCTGGGTGCTACCATCTGCTTGGGATCCCATAATTAATAAAATTAAATCCCAACCCAAGCATAAAACTGCAAGACTTCATGACACTGTAAGTTCATACTGCGTAGATCGGAACAAAAATTAATAATTTTTAATCTGGAGGTAGCCGTGGTTAACTATGACATTGGGACGTCATACACCTCAGTCCCTCCCGTGACCATGGGTGCTGTAAAGTGCTTGAAACGTCGGGAATGTAAAATAAGGCGATAAAATCCGTAAAATTAGTTTTATTTAAACCGTAGTTTCATACAACCGCGCTATGATAATAACACTACTACAATCTTGGGGCGCGCGTGTGCGTGAGCACTGGTGGCTCATCACGTACAGAGAGAAATTGCTTTAAACCGACTCGGCCAGTGGTCAAACACAAGGTTGTGTAAAGTATCATAAGTGTAAAATTCTATTTTTTAAAGAATTATTCCTGTCACATGAAATATAAAAAGATGTTATTATGGTTTACTGTACTTTTTGTATGAACAATAATAGAACAAATAAAAAAAAATTTAATTATACCAAAGAGTGCACTAGGTAAGTAGTAACTTGACTATAATTTATTATTCTTTTTAATGTGGTAGATAGATATCTTGCCTTATGTGACCTACCTACCTGTAAGTGATTGAATAGTTATTTTTATAATATTTATAATTGAATAATTACGTTTATAAATTAAATACGTAGATTCATGTTTTATTATTATTATTTCAGACAGCAAGAGTGGTTAAAAGCTGTCGGACGTTTTTATTATAAAAAGGCAACAATGCAACAATATATCCCACCATCATCCCAAGAAAATAACTCTGTGAGGATCAATTCGAAAAATCCTGCATTAAATTTTCTAAAAAAAGACCTGTAAAATATTTATTTGGAAATGCTTTTCCAACACTCAGCTTGTTGGTAATTGATGGTGCTTGTTTGACTTCCGGCCAATGTGAGAACTAAACTAAATGTATGAATTGCTTGAGCAAAAATTTTGTGAATATTTTGATCTCGAAAGAATCGTTGGTAATGAAATATTAAAACGTGTAAAATATTTTTTCTCGATATATGGCCATACCTCAATTTCGCTACATAAAATTGTTTTTATACTTTTAGCTAGACATGAAATCCATATTATTATTAAAGTTTCAATAACTACAGAAAATGAATTATAAGATTAGTTTCTTTACTAACTGATTAACTTTAGATTACATAGATTACAAAAATGTAATTGAAAAAAATATATGAACTGCCGTCATTTGGTCTATGCGTCTTAATAGAAATGTAAGCAATAAAGATAAAGATAAAGATATATTTATTTGCAAAAACATGTGTAGATAATAATACATTTGATGTTTATTATTGGTCTGAAAGTTATAATTTTGAATCAACATGTTTGACCATAGTTGGTGTATATAATATATATATATATATATATATATATATATATAGTATTAAATAAGATTCCATATGTTCTAAGGAGGATCCAAATTGATTTTTGTTATTGAACTCAACACCGTTTAAAAGTTGATGAGCTTGTGTGATGAGTGATGAAAGTCTTCTCTGATTTATTGTTCTTGAAAAACTTGAAAACTGCTTATTAAAAATCATCGTAACTGTTTTTATTTTTTTCATCAAAATTAAACGCTCATGAGGCGTGCACTTTTGGGTTTTCCAAATTAAATTTGTTATGCCATGCGATTGCTTTCTATAAGATTATTTAAAAAAAAATAACGTTACATTAGATTAACAATTTACCATTTAATTAATAGGAACAACAAATTGTTGAAGAACAAAAATTATAATATAAAATATTTAAAATAAGCAGTTTTTAAAAAAAATCTATCTTAAGTATATAATAAAAGTTGATAAACGTTTTGTATATTTAATTTTATCCTCTTGTGCCAACCCTATCAAAATAGGTAAAATTTTTGACGACTCATTAGAAACCTTGCCTCTGTACGGTTTTTTTACTCCTGTGGTTTTGTATCTAATTTTATTAATTATCTGATCCTAAGCAGATCATAACACCCAGCCATGTTTTCTATTGAAATTTAGTTATTTTTAATTACCAGACCAGAAAATGAATAATTAAATGCTGAAGGTAGCCCAGGAGAGTAAATAGCATAAGTGAATCTGAATGCAGATGGAAAAACCAGTCAGTGACATTTTAAACTAATCAAAGGCCAAAGAAAGTAAACCATTTCTAAAGCTGGTCTTACCCAAGCCGAACATATGTGCCAACTATGTTGAAACATGGGATCTTCGAAACATTTCTCGATCAATGGAGAATTTAAATGCTCCGGAGTACGCTTCGAAAGCATCAGGTTGACAGCATCTAAATATTCGTTAGATAACGTGGCGATAGCAACATATTCCAGTGTTGGATTAATCTGGAATTTTTAAAAAAGTTTTATATTTTGCATTCAATTACTACGCCAACTTATTTAGTAACTTTAACTTCATACTTCAGAAATATTTAGTCTAGGTATTGACAAATAGACTTGAGGTATAACACCCCATCCAAACACTTCAATTGGAACAATAGGTTGATGACCAATTTCTAAAAGAAATACTCTCTTAAAGTAGCCTAGCACTCCAGGCCTCATTATAACTTGTATATCTATTTCTTCATCGGGTTGTATCACCTTTTCAGGCGGTATGACTTCTAAAATTGTTGCATTAAGCTCATTTTCAAATGTTGGTTCATTTAAATACGTTTTTAAGTCAAAAGGCAATAATGCTTTATTACATATCCGTACATATTCGTATGCGTTTTCTTGAAAGCATCTAATTTTAAAATTTATTTCTCGTGTGTTTAGACTATACTTTAAGTCTGAAGACTGTCCGGTAACTGTTATAAATTCTGATGGCCCTCCTAGAACTTCACATTCAATCACAGCTCTAACATTTATGTTATTTTGAGGGCGAAACATCACATTAACATATTGTATTTCATTGGGTTTTAATTTGCCTCGATGTGGTATTAACAGTAACATATCATTAATACGGTCAACATTATTTTCCGTTGTGTGGGAAAGCTTGGATATCCATTTAAATTTTGGGTCATAATACTCTTCACCTATCATTGGCACTATAGTTTTTATTATCTTATTCTTCAATTTGATATTTAATTTATAGTCTGGTTCTTTTATTGCCTCCAACGCAGTGGCCGTGTCGCCTGTTATTTTAACTGAACATATTTCAGACCTTTGTGATACAACTTCGCTTAAATTGGAGGCTGTAATATCAGATAACATTTAAATTTAATATACAATTTATTAACATATTAATATTTTTGATACTCACTGCTTGGTTCTGTTTTCAATGAGATTTTTTTAATTTCTGTTATATTGTTTGCATAATCAGCGTCACATTGTTCCAGATTCTATTAAAATTCAAATGTACGTTAGTTTTTAAGATTAAATCAGCTTTATTTTTATTTATTGAGGATAATAAAAGAAACGTATACATTATAACAATTATCCATGTAACATTTTTTTGATTCAAGGATCAAAAACTAATTGCAATAAATAGGTATAGTTTACCGTGGCACTGTAGACGCTAACTGTGTTAATAAACAAATGTTTTCTTCTTCCTCGTCATCACCTTTTAGAAGCCCACTGCTGGTCATAGGCCTCCCTCGTTGTAGGGAGTATTTGCCTTAGTCGTCACGCTCGGCAAGCGAATTGACGAACATAGTACTAGACGGCTCGCACCATTTGACGATACTGCCCGTCACCGGACTGGGGTGTTTTGTGAAGAATTAGTTAAAGTTCCAACCATCTCGTTATGAGAATATTTTGATACTTTCAATTGGTGCAAACAGTTATTCATATCGTTACAGACTATTAAAGTCCACTGCTAAACATAGGCATATGCCGAGGCATATCCTTAAAAATAAAAAATACTATACTATAGGTATACTTATACTTCAGGTATGAGTATGCCGTGTAGCTTCTTGTTTGTTTTGAGATGTTACACTTTTGACTTTTAAAGCTGATTCAGTATTTGTGGTAATTAGCTTCAAGAGATTCCGTGTAGTATGAGCGTAAGAGAATCCATCACTCCACTTCGTCCAGTAGGTGCCGTAAGAGACATCTATGGAAAATGCCAGAAAATTCTAATGGCTTTTGATAGATCACGGTATACATCTCGTCTCGTCTCGTTTACGACAGACGTAAATTATACAGATCGGCAACGGGCGGCATTGTCAAAAGTGCTACATGTTTCTTAATGCTAACGTCAATGCGTCTACCAAGCATGACGGTTAAGGTAAATACTCATTAAAGCGAAGTAGAAGATGAAGAATAAGAATCATAAAGTAAACACTTACAGATACGGTAGACGTTATCAAGACTTTTTTCCAGAGGAATCGATAACATGCAATAAGCGGTGTAACATTCTGTATTTTAATCATTTTACTTTCGATGCTGTCATTTAAAATGCATTGGAATTCAATTTTTGGTGTTAAGACTAAAATATTTGGGAAATTTATTTTTCCAGATAATTTGATACTGTCCTAAAATCAATTAAAAATTATCAATTAAAAATCAGCATCTATCCGTTATAAAAGCCTCTAAAAGTCAACATCTTAACATAAGTCTCCCCATAGATGGCTTGAAGAGCGGATTTTGCCACGCCAAGCAAGCAGATTGGCAATTTTTGTGTTAATTATTATTAGTCGGCACCAATTAGATGCAGCTGCCAATCTTTTCCTGTTTCAGTTTCCCTCCCTCGTCTTTTAGGACACAAATGGGACAATACAGGGTTTGGATATTTTTACACCTTCACTACATGTACAATACACTGAGATTTGATTAAGTAAAATAAATCGCGACAACACGAACATTCATTGAATATCTATAATGTGGCCGTAGCATTAGCGATTGTTTTTATTTTAAATAATACAATTTGTCCAGCGAATTCAGAACAACGAGCTGGTCCGGACACACTCAGCTACAAATCACCTCGTCTGACCATAATTTAAAAATCACTCGGCAAGTGAATATGCAGTGAAACTCAGTTAAGAGTGGGCAAACTATTTTGCCTTTACGAGTTCCATGACATTCAAAATAAGAAATGTGAAGAGGAGGAAAGTAGAAAATGAATTCTGAATATTATTAGTTAACATTGAATGAAAATTGAATGTTATCTGGATTAGCATATACTGACTTTGTTTTTATGTCCTTTGAATTTAATTTTCATTGCATCACTGTATACACGAGCTTTTAAAGACGTGTGTTTTGTTATATCGAACAGAATTTGAATTTTCATTATTTCCTGATCCTCTAAATGCTGCTCAACAAAGTGTGTCAAATTAAAAGCTCGCTTAATTTTATTAATGTCTTCAAAGAATTGCAAACTTCCTTCGCGTAATGGATACACAGGTTTTAATGTTAAAAAATCAATTAAGTCACTGGATTCTTTCGCACTGCAGTTACTGAATATATTGGACAGATTTAAATCAAATTCCTTATAACATATACAATGACAAAAATCTTCTTCTTGGTCTTCAATCTTGTATGTGTTTTTCTTTTGTATTAATGCAAATGGTGGTCTAACATTAATTTCCAAATCTAAAGGTAATGTCGATATATTCTTAATAGTTACAATGTCTGAAATAATCATCGGTGTTTTAAATCACATCCCATATCAAACTAATATACACTTATATGAAAATTCATATTTACCTGTTAGTTTATAAAATTCACTATAAGGACCATGGTCATACTGAAAGTCTATTGTTGGTGAAGATATTTCAATTTTTGGATCCACAAACTCTGCAGTGATTTCACATTCTAACAGTAACTCTTTTTTATTGATACCCTCAACACTTCCTACCAAATACCATGTTTCTTTAACTAAAGCAACTTTGTTTGAAGTTCCCGTTATAGTCAATTCCAATTCTTCACCCGCGTATATTTTAAAACATCTAGGTTCCAAGTTGAAAAAGGCTCTGAAAGTTAAAATGAAAACGTTATTATTATAATATAGCATTTTACTTTATTTCAAGTACATTTCAAAAGTATATTTTTGAAATATCTTAATATAACGCAGCATTCACTGATTGGGCTAAATATCACATAAGGTAAATTTGTAGTAATGCACCCAAATTTCATTATTATGACAGGTTTTGATTTTTGTCACAAAGTAATAAAACCGTAAAGAAATTCGTATTTTATACAATAACTGACGATCGCTAGCTTCGTACTGGTGATTTTTGGATCTCAAAAATAGCGCTGGGCCCAATTGAATCTGAACCATCCAGGGATCAACTCCAACACATACAAAAAAGTTTATCGAAATCGATGCAGCCATTTAAGAGGAGTACACGTACAGAAGAATTATATATACAGGCTGGTCCAAACAGTTGACGTATAAAAGAAAAATTTAAATTCTTTACACCAAGGGTAAGGAAAATACACCATGTATGTTGTCCGATTTTTTGTAGTAGTTATAGTAGTAGTAGTTTATATTGGGGTAGACTCAAGTTATCAAGTTCAATTTGAAAATACAAAAAGTAGTTTCCATAGGTTCTAACTGACTTTAAAAACTTTGCAAGTTCCTAAGCTATCACTATCTATAGAAACATTAAAAAATGGTACTTGACGGGCTATTATTAGCTGTAATCGGCCATCGAAGGTGGATAGGCTAAAAATCCACAATGTTTTTAAGTTCATTAAATTATTAGTCGCCTTTTACTAGTTGGATTTTATTCATACAGTACAAAATAAAAAGTATCATACACAGCTTGCTGCTTATTTTTTGGCGTCTTGTAGTGTTCGCTCCATTCCAATACATGCATTTTTGTACCTTGGTTTTTCATTTTTACTTTAGAGTTTAATGGGATTCGCGTAAATTGGTGCCCAAGTTCGATTCTATCCCCTAAATCTCCTATTACAATACTTGTTCCAACTCCTGTGGCAGTAAGTGGTACCAACTGAAAGGCAAGATTTTTCAAAAACACTTGAAAATTTATCTAAGATATCAAAATGTACCATGGAAGTTGTATATTAGCAAAATTATTAAATTAAACCAATCGATCATTATTCCAGTCAAATTAATCTTTATATATAAAAATTACGTGTCATGTTGTTTATCCGCGATGGACTCCTACTACTACTGAACTGATTTCAATGAAATTTTGCTCACTGTGTGCATTTTGGTCCAACTGGAGAGATAGGATAGTTTTTACCCCGCTAAATGACCCTCAAAAGTTTTTATTGCGAATTTAAGGATTTTTATAGGAAGAATCGTCGGAAAGGGCAAAACAACGTCTGCCTGGCGAGCTAGTATATTATATAATATATTATTTGATATGATATCATCGATGATAATTATTACTGCCCGCTTGTAAATATTCCACGTCCTTTCCCAGGTTAGGGTTTGGCGTCATTACTTAGCGGGCTGATGGATATTGCAGTAGCAATCCATCTTAGATGCGCCCTCAAAATTTCCAAAAAGCTTTTTATTATGTTTTTTTTTTATTAAGTCACTTATAAGAGGCTACAGGCGGCAAGATTTTTATAGGTTATCTTTTTTTTCTACCAAGGACAGGTTTTATCGGACTTTACCGACTAAAACACCTTGGTTTCTCACGTCACATCGACACAGTCACGGGATTGCTCAAGCATCAGCGCTAACCAATAGTCCATTTCAAGACTTCTCTTTTTTTGCAAAACGTAGCACACTGAAACACGGAATGCATTGTCCATATAATCTCCATATCTACGTGCGCAACAAATTCCGAGTGAGCACTTGTAGTAAGTAGTTGAGAACAGAGGAAAGCGAAAAGTGTTATAAAATTATGTATAACTAGTGTCCTACCTCACTATACCGTCTAGGCTTAAAGTAAGTAAATACGTGTTATGATTTTGTGAAAAAGCCACTCTTGAATTATTCTTTTGTTGACTAATATATATTTTAATCAAAGTTACTTACTATTTCCTTCATGTTGTCAATCTGAATAACAGCTTTATTACTATAAGTCTCAGCGTCGACCAAATACAAATTAACAGTGAGATTTTTTTCAGATTCTGGTTCTATAAAATCTTCTACAGGTTCAATTTGCCATTTGGTATCACGATTTAGCTAAAATTAAATTTCATTAAGATATGATTCATGTGAGAAACTCATGAATGCTTTACTAAATATAATTTTTATAATACAAACCAAATACGTTTTAAATTTCAATTGAAGAGGCGAATCGTTATATAGTGTTAAAGTTTTCTGAAGTTTTTTGAGTAACTTTACATGACCCCAATGTAGCGCTGTCGGGTCGCATGTCACTATTGGATTTACTCCACACACAGTTATGTGACATATTTCTATAGGCTCAGCCACACCGAAAAGGCGTAACCTGCAGTCAGCGAAATAGTTATAAATTAATAAATTTATAACTATATTAATAAATAAATTAATTGTCAAAGTTACATTATTTAAAGTTTATGTACAATCACATACCGCAAAGGAAATTCATGTACTCCGAGAGTATTTGCCGTAACTGTTACTGATAAAGATATTGTACTATTTGGTTCTATAAATCCTTCTTTCATATTAATATCGATGTCATAAGCAGATTCCTGTGAACGATGGTGTTAATTGTTTAAAACAATCTTTAAATTGGCTAAAAATACTTAGTAAGTGGCCACTAAAAATAATTGCGAAGGACATAACCTTAATGTTTAATACTTTTAATTATACAAGAAAATAATTTATAGGATGTGTGAGGTGTTCGAAAGTTGTTATGTATTATAGATGAAACCAACTAGGAGAACAGACATTATATTGCCACTTCTTTTAATATACTTCTTTTTATAGCGTTAGAGTTTCATACATGATGTTTCAATTTAGTTTGATCTGGTGTAGTAATTGGTTTTACGGCATCTGCCGCGAGCAGGGCTCAAGCATAGCGTTTATTTAAATACTTTTTCTTTAAATCAAGAATATAACCGTAGTAAGCAATAAAGTAACAAAATGACAGATTCGCAAATAATTGCGGATGTCGTCTTAGTGTTACATTTAGCGTATGAAAATCTATATGTGAAAAATTTCACGGAAATCTAGCTATACATATAATGAAAAATCATTTCTCTCATTTGAAAGTTATATAAAAAATCAATATTGAAAAGAAGTTTTATCCTTTGATAATTTGAATAAATACATGATCTGTGTAAAGTTTTATTTTGAATTTACGCTTAAATATTTTATATTTTTTATTTTCCACAGTGGTAGAGCCACGCGGCAGCTTTTGCTGTCGCACGGATGGGCCGGCTCGAACCGGGGTGGTACCACGACCTCACAGAATACCAGCGTGAAGTAGAGGTTTACCTCTGCGTTTCGCTTGGTGAGTGCAGGTGGCCGGAGGCCCTTTTTACTGGAAATGAGGCATTCCATCTTAGTCCTCACGGGTGGCAACGCATCTGCATTTTGATTCGCAAACGAGGATAGATGTAGATGTCTATGGGCCGCAGCAACCACTTACCATCAGGTGGACTGTGTGCTCGTTTGTCACCCTTATCCTATAAAAAAAAAAAAAAAAATATTTTTAATTTAAACTATAAAAGTCAAATGTTGACAAATAATTGCGTTAAGTTTCAAGTACTATACTTGAAACTATATTGATTTTATAACCGCACCAATGACTTTGTCTACACCTGTTAACTTTGAATTTTTTAACAGTGGTAGAGCCACGCGGCAGCTTTTGCTGTCGCACGGATGGGCCGGCTCGAACCGGGGTGGTACCACGACCTCACAGAATACCAGCGTGAAGTAGAGGTTTACCTCTGCGTTTCGCTTGGTGAGTGCAGGTGTCCGGAGGCCCTTTTTACTGGAAATGAGGCATTCCATCTTAGTCCTCACGGGTGACAACGCTTCTACAGGATAGTAGTACTAGAGAATAGATGTAGATGTCTATGGGCCGCAGCAACCACTTACCATCAGGTGGACTGTGTGCTCGTTTGTCACCCTTATCCTATAAAAAAAAAGAATATCGATAATAGTAGGTAGGTATGCACAATTATAAGTGCTCAAAATGGTTCGTGTAAATATACACACTGCCGGTGCTTCGCTCTTTTCTCTTGCAGTGCTCTAGTTGAACACCACACACATTGGCTTGTTGTTGTCTAAATATAATAAATGTACAAAACAATACTGTAGCAAAAATAAAAACCTTAGGTACCTTAACTTCTTCTGTAGTAAAATACCCATAAAAATCATTTGACGTTACATTTATAACATTAACATAAGGATAATTTAAGAAGCATGCTCGCAGGTTCACATTAGGAGCTGGTGTAAGATAAGGGACAGTTGCATTATATGTTATAGGCAAAGTCAATGGCCGCCTGTCGGATTTTTCGAGCTCCAGCTCGAGAGCTGTTCGATGGGATCTTATTAAATTTGCCGTTAATATAACCTTAAAATAACCACATTACACTATATTTGTATTAAATAATTAGAAAGAAGAAAATTTAAATTATAATAAAATACACACATGTTTACTATATACATATACAAAATATTACTAAAATATCACATTAAATTTGTAAATAATACCTTTAAAGTTATCATTGATTCTGGGTCCATTATTATTTTATTAGGTTCAATTTCAAACTCTCGAGGCCATCTTGGTATTTCTGGTTTAGAATGATCAGCATAAGCATAATCAGCCAACGTGATACTACTAATTTCCAAACCGTCCGATGGTATCTTAAGAACAGCCGATACGTGTACATTCGATTCATTAATCAATTCTAAAATTAACGTTTTAGGTACACCTAGGAAAAAAAAAAATTTGTAATTTTTAGAATTTGTTTCATTTCAACATTTTAATATTTACTTTTAGGCCAAAGATTAGATATTTTCGGAATATCCAATTCATATCAGGTCGTGATAATTTTTTGTAGTGGATTGTTTACCAGATTTTAATACTGCATACCCTGCGTCTTAAAAACCTGTATTGAGACTCGACTAGTCATTAACTTTGGTGCCTTTTATATCTTAGCTATGTGGGAAATTGTTTCCTCAAATTTCCTCAGAGCACTACCCGTGGTAGATGTGAAAGAAAATGCAAAGAGATGCAAGATCTCTTCACAGCGCCAGTGAATCGAGCTGATCGGAAAGGACTCGGTCGTCGACATTTCGAGCCGCTCTGCGCTGGATGCGGTCAAGTGGAAGGAGCTGGCACTGAGGAGCCCCAGCCCAGAGATGGGAATAGTATTCCATGTGAGGCCGAACATGCGCCTTGTAAAGTAATAGGCGGTGTGCCGGCATGAAATACTGTCCCGCTCTGCTGAGCACGCCAAGCTAAATAGAGGCCAATTTTGCCTTCTCTTCCAAGTGACCACGAAACTGCACGTCACTCGATATGTCGACGCCGAGAATTCAGATACTGGCTGAGGCAACAAGGGGAGTGCGTTAACACGGAGGAGATACGATAAAGGGGTTCTTTTTAGCGGTAAACGCGCAAACTTTTGTCTTCTGGGGATTAAGCTGAACTAGATTTAGTCGCCCCTCCATCCGAGACTTTGTTCAGCAAAGACTTGATTTCATACGCAAGTTTGCTCCGGTACGTTTTCCTGAGAAATATTGGCACGGCCGGTGTATCGAGCATCACCAGTGCTGTCATCCGCATAGCAATGAATGTTACCAGTTTGTAACATACTATTTATATGCAGAAAAAGCAGCGTTGGTGATAGCACGCAGTCTTGTTGAACACCATCATTAGTAATAAGCTTGTAAACGGAGCATGCACCGTCTACTACGACCTTGATGTTCCGATCTGTAAGAAAGCTGGTGATCCAATTGTACAATTTCTCGGGAAGCCCATAGAAATAAAGCTTCGAAAGAAGCGCTTTGCGCTAAACCCCATCGAAGGCCTTCGAAATGTCCAAACTAACGGCCAATGCCTCCCTCTTGGACTCTACTGTCTCCGCCCATCTCTACTCCGCCATCACCGCACTTCTGATCCACACTTTCGGTGTAGTGCCACCATGGAGGACGGTTCGGTTTAAACTTCAAGTACCGGTTTTCCACCCGCTTTCAGAAGCCCCGCTGTAACTCCATCTTCGCCTAGGGCCTTGCCGTTTTTAAGGTGTTGGAGAGCCATTCTAATCACGCTCAGACTGACGTCCGGAATATCATCCAAATTGTGTCGGATAAGACTTGCTCTTGAATCGATACTCACACTTGCGTGTGGTTCCAATAATGATGTAGCTGTATACATAGAACCACTCAATCTTCCTCAAAATCTCAGGTGTCCCGGAAACGATGCTGCCACACTCGGTCTTCAGCTTCAACAGTTGGCTCTTTCCGGCAGACAGATTTCTAACAAAGACTTTGGAGCCCTGGTTCCGCTCGATCGCTTCTTCAATACGAGCAGTATTAAAGTTACGTAAGTCCTTTTCTTTTTTTTTTTTTTGCGGATGGAAAATCATCTAATGACGCCTTTCGCTGTGGGTGGAGCGGAAGGGAGTGTCAGACTTTTACTGACTAAAAACCATCCGTGTTCCTTCAGTGCCCTTACGTTCCGGAGCCGCGGTATCTCTTTCGAACAGCCCGCAGCCCCGGCAGGCGTCGGCCCTTGCGGGCCCCTTCACGCTGCTGACAGCTCTTTGAGGCGCGCGTGGAACAAAACGCGCCGTCGACACGGCCTGTCGTCGTTAGACGGACGGACGGCGAGCTACCCATTGCTCGCCGTCCACAGGCCCGCGCCTACGGTGGTCGGGGGCCACGGCGTAGCCCCCGACGCCCGGGGCGTCTCCCGCGGCGGCCGGGAAGGAAAGCTGTTGCTCTTTCCTTCTCCCGCTCCGCCACCTCCTTCGCTAGCATCACTGCTTCGCAGAAGGTGGTGACGGCATCCCATTCCGTCTCGCTCCGGACCATGGCTTCGACCAGAGCCGGACGCGAGAGGTCGCCGCCGCCTATCGCCGCTACGAGGACACGGCGGTGCTCCGCCCAAGCAGAGCACACCTCCACGGTGTGCTCCACCGTGTCCTCCGGTCGATCCTCGCAGTGGGAGCACCCGGGCGTTTCCTCCCGCCCGATTCGGTGCAGGAACCTCCCGAACACACCGTGTCCGGTGAGGACCTGCGTCAGGCGGAAGGTGAGGACGCCGTGGCGTCTCTCAAGCCACTCTTCAAAGAGGGGTCTTATCGCCGCTATAGTGGCGTGCCCAGCACGGGGTTGCGACAGTCGCTCTCTCCATGTCGCCATGAGATCATGCCGGAAGTCTGTCCGCTGCGCGACAACTTGCCGCGGCAGCGGGGTTTCCCCCCGGCATAGTGCTGCCGCGCGCCATTCGTGCAGGCGCGCGAGGACTATCGCCTCCAGATCCCATGGCGGCAATCCGGCAAGGAGGCTCGCCGCCTCGCGGGAGATCGTGCGGTAGCCGCGAACCATCCTTACGGCAACCACCCTTTGGGGCGCGTTTAGGTGGTGGACGGCAAGCCGCGCCAAACCACGCGCCCACACCGGGGCCCCGTAAAGGGCCATGGACCTCACGATCCCCGCGTAGAGCCTCCGGCAGGAGGCGTTTGGCCCCCCCAGGTTCGGCAGGAGCCGCCTGAAGGCAGCCCCGGTCCGTTCCAGTTTGGGAGCCAAACGTCGGAAGTGCTCAACGAAGTTCCATCGGCCGTCGAGGACGAGTCCTTGGTACTTCAACGTCGACTCGACGCCGATGGATACCCCTCCTACCATCACTGAGGATCCCGGTGGTGGCCTGTTCCGAGGACCATGGAAGTGCATGGCCTCGGACTTGTGCAGAGCCACCTCGAGACCCAGTTGCCGGATCCTCTCAACGACTATCGCAACCCCGCGTGTCATAGTTTCCGCCGCCGCCTCGTACGACCCCCCTTGTGCCAGTACCAGCGTGTCGTCAGCGTAGCAAACTACGCTGACGCCGGTAGGGAGGTCGGCGCGCAGCACCCAGTCGTAACCGATGTTCCACAGGGGCGGCCCCAGAACCGAACCCTGTGGGACACCGCACGACATCTCTCGCCGGTTCCACTCTCCGTTTCGACCGGGGTAGATGACGGCCCTGTCCGTCAGATAGTCCCCGACTATACGACGGAGATAGGTCGGCACCCGGTGATACCGGAGTGCCTCCCTAATGCAGCTCCAGGGCATGGAGTTGAAGGCGTTGGCGATGTCGAGAGACACCGCCAAGACAACCCCCCCCCTGGCCACTGCATCCCCCGTCGTGAGGGCTCTCACGCGCATGATGGCGTCCACCGTAGAGCGCCTCTTGCGGAAACCAAACTGGTGTTTCGCAAGATCCGGCCCCGTCCCCGCAAGGTGCTCGGCGAGGCGGTTTGCAATTACTCTTTCAAAGAGCTTGCCCACCTCGTCGAGCAGCACCACGGGCCGGTATGCGGACGGAGAGTCCGCAGGGCGCCCCGGCTTCCGAATGAGGACCAGCTTCCCCGTCTTCCAACGAAGCGGGAATTGGCCTCTCTCCAAGCATGCGCTTAGGAGCCCCTCCAGTCGGGGCCCGAGAGCCTCCGAGGCCAGGACCCAGGCTTTGCCAGGCAAGCCATCGGGTCCTGGGGCGGTATTCCTGGCCTTGAGCCTACGTACCGCCACTCTCAGGTCTACCCCGGTCCCTTCCGGGATGTCGTCGTCGTCGTCCTGGTGGTCCGCTTCCGGCACCGCAGGTGGCGGAGCCATAGGCGGGGGCGGATGTTCCCCGCGCGCAGGGAACAGAGCGCTCACCACATCCTCCACGAGCTGAGGCCGGAGACTCTGCGTCAGCGGGGGGGCCCAGGTGCGGAGTTTATCCCGCACGATCTTGTAAGGGCGCCCCCACGGATCTCTATCGAGAGTCTCCAGCATCTCCTCACGGGCCCGATCCCGGGCCCGCAGGACAGCCTCCCGGAGGGCGGTCTTTGCCGCTCTGTATCCCTCGTACAGCTCCGCCTCAATGGCTGCCGCATTCGGTGGACGAATGCGGAGCCTGCGATGCCTGGCGTACAGGTGCCGCGCGGCGACACACGCCTCGCGCAGAGACGTCAGCTCACGCGACCACCAATACACCTGACGCCGGGCGCTTCCTGGCCGGACGCGGGGCATTGCCACGTCACATATCTCGGACATGGCCTCCTGGAACCACCCTGCCTCATCATTGACGTCGGCAGGCCTGTCCGGTGATGACACCCAGGCCTGCACGATCGAGGCTTCCAGGAGGAGCTCCCGGTCCAGCTGCTTCAGCGCCCAACGCGGACCACTCGGGGCCTGTTGGACTGGCGCGCTCGAGGGCTGGGTGGAGACGTCAAACCGGATGTACCGGTGGTCGGAGTAGGTCTCCACCCCCTCCATGACACGCCAGTCAATGGCACGCGGCGACAGAGCGGGGCTAGCGAACGAAATGTCCACCACCGACTCGCCCCGCATCCGCACACACGTGGGGACAGAACCCCGATTTAGGACGACCAGGCCTGTCTCCAGAGCCCAGTCTTCCACCATCCTACCCCGCACATCTGTACGACGAGAACCCCAAGCCAAGTTCTTGGCATTGAAGTCCCCGAGGACAAGTACGGGGAGGGGATTACTTCCGACGACGACTGCTCTCAGCTCTGCAAGAGAGTTGTGAAACTCGGCGAGAGATCGGTTCGGGGAGAAGTACACCCCCACAACGACGAACTCCCCGAACCGTGCTGCTACGCACCCCTGACCCCTCCTGACACCTTCAAGGGTCGGGGTACCGGCGGCGGCTGAAGAAATGATGGCCACTGAGCCGTTAAGGTCCGCCACCCAGTCCTCCCTAGGCCAGACAAAATACGGCTCAGCGACCACAGCGATGTTGATCGACCACTGCGCCATGCTCTGGAGCAACAGATCCTGAGCGCAGGCGCAGTGGTTGATATTCGCCTGGAGGAAGCTTAATGGGGCCGTTATAGGCATTCCATTTCAGCTTCCTCCACGGGGCGCCTCTCTGCGGGCGTCGGTGTCGTGGCGGCGGCGGCAGCGACAGTGACAGCGGCGGCGGCGGCGGCGGCAGTCGCGACTGCGGCGGTGGCCACAGAGGCGGTGGCGGCGGAGGGCCCTCCCCTACCCGCGGCCTTGGCCTTGGCGGGTGGCACGCAGGCCCTGCTTCCGGCCCGGTGATCGGCTGGCTTGCCGGTCGCCGCACATGCATCACAGTGCGGCGTGGCGCAGCAGGTCGCCGATATGTGTCCGGGCTGACAGCAGCGGAAGCAAAGGCCACTGCAGTCAACCTCCGAGGCGCATTTCACAGATACGTGGTGCCCCACGAGACAGCGGTAGCACCTCAGAGGTCTGGGCTCCAGCAGCTTAACCTGCGCTGAGACCCAGCCCACCAGAAGCCTTCGGCCCTCCACTATGGTTTTGGCCGCCGTAACAGGGCAGCACACCGTGGCGGCATGCATACCCTGTTGGTCCGGGCGTATGGCGCCTGACCTGACCTGGTCAGTAGTGCACCCCCTGGACCTGGCGACGGCGGCCACTAACTCCTTCTCCGATACCGAGTCGTCCAGACCCATGATGCGCAGGTCTGCGCATCTGACGGGCCTGGACACTCGGGCCTCGTCCGCGTCCAGGGACGCTCTGAGCTTCGCAGCCAGAGCGTCCGCGGTCGCGCCACTGGATTCCCCGGGGATCTCCAGCATACGGGCCCCCGTCTGGGTGACTTTGAGCCGGAGGCCCCCGGTGATCCCGAGCTCCCCGAGATCCACCGCCTCTTTCGCCTTCGCGAGCAGATCGCGGTAGGTAACGCCCTTCTTTTCCGCGTCCGGCTGTAGTGTAATCACTACAGCTGCGGTCTTCGGGGCGCGGAGCCTAGCCGCCATCTTGCGCGCCCTGAACTGGCGCTGCCGCTCCTGCTCTTTGGCCTTTTTGGCTGCCTTCTTCCCCTTATTTTTGTCCCCGACCACCTGCCAACCGGCTTCAGCCGTGGGAGGTGTAGGGAGCTGCGGGGGCGGTGGCGGCGGCGGCAGCTGGCTTGCCGCTGGCGCTGGCACATTCGCCGCAGGCACTGGGGCTGGCGCAGCCACCACCTGTGCTGCCGCTTTGCCCTTTTTTGTTTTCGCCTTGCCTCTCTTTCCCGTTGCCGGCTTAGCAGGAGCCGGTTCAGCCGGTACCGGTTTTGCCGGAGCCGGCTTTTCAGGGGGAGGAGGGGCAACTGCAGCCCCGCCCGAAGGCTGGCTGGACGGCCCCGGCCTGGATGCGGCAGCTGTGGCCGCCGCGTACGAGACCGTTGCCGGCCTCGCCGCCGTCTTGTTTGCCCCTAGGGGGGGGGCGCAGGACGATGCCCTCCAGCACGGAGAACCGGTGCTGGAAGGCAGCCAGCTCCTGCCGGACCAGGTTCAGAACCTGGTTCTCCACCGGCACGGGCTGGCTTGGGCGCTGCGTCTGGGGCGCCGCGCGAGAGGCAGGCTCACGTAGACTGGCCAGGTCTGCGCGGAGCTTCTCGTTCTCCTTCTGGAGAGTCTCCATGGCGGACGTCAGGCGGGCCACTTCCGCCCGCAGCTCCGCTACCTCGTTTACATTAAGCTCGGCCCCAACAAAGTTGGCCTCCGCAGCCGCCATGATGGAGGCGGAGGCCGCGGGAATGGCCTTTAACTTTGAGGAGGCCTTTTGCTTGTGGGCCACGACCTTGATCGCGGCCTCCACCTCCTTTACGAATCTGGCCTTACGCTCCACCTCGGAGCCGCCAGAAGTTACGTAAGTCCTGCCGCATGCATTTGGAGATCTGTCTTTTCAGTTGCCTGTATGCTGTCAAATCTACTGAAGACTGCAACCTCATTTCCCGTCTAACAGCCATGAGGTTAAGAGTGTGATTGGGGAGTTCTTGTGTTCTTCTGCGGCGGGTCTTGCAAAACTTAGCTCCGACCGCAGGGACAGTTTCCACGAGCTTGTCATTCATATCGTCCACTGCATTGCAATCTTCTAGGCACTGAAAACGGTTTTGTAGCTCGAGCTGAAAGGTTTCGGGACTTTGGATTAGAGTACGAGGAGGACGGGGCGTTGACTTCATTAGACGTGACCTCTCCAACTTAACATTTAGGTTCAGTGTGCCTCCTACCATTCGGTGATTGCTGCCGGTTTTCGCCCTCGCGATCACTGAGACATCACTGAACAGTTGTCGGGTCTCGACCAGGTCCACTTCCTGTGGAGCCGCTTCTTGAAGAAAGAGTTCATCATAAGGAATCCCTCGTTCTCCATGAACTCGGCCAGCTGCTGGTCCCTTGGGTTCCGTTGGCCTTTTCTAAATTTCCCTACCTTCAGCTCACCGTTCTCTCATGTGCTTAGTTTTGCGTTGAAGTCTCCCATTAACACCCTATAGTGGGTTTTGGAGGAATGCGTGGCTCTAGATATATCCTCATACATTTCCTCCACCTCCTCATCGGGATGTGCGGAGGTTGGTGCGTAAACCTGTATGACCTTCAGCAAATACCGTTTGATGATTCTGAGTATAAAGTACGCAACGCTCGTCTACACACTCCCAATCATTACAACGTTGTTAATGAGAGACTTGTGGCGATAAATCCGAAACCTCCTTGTAACAGATGGTCGCCCTCCTGGTGATAGAATAAGTTGCCGGATTCAAGGATTACCGTGTCCTATCCCTCCCTTCGAACCTCAGATAATCCTATAATATTCCAGCGCAACTTGTCTATCTCTTCTTCCAGCTCCAGGATCTTCTCGTCAGCCCGTGCACTCAGGGGGCGTGCGTTATATGTTGCCCGGTCGATTCGTCTTAGGTGGCAACCGAACTCCCCCAGAGATTCTTAGCACCGCCCATCTATGTGTCAGGTATACCAGAAAATCACCAGCTGATCGACCCCGACGAAAACTGTGTTGGCGGTCACTAATCAGCTGGGATGGTCAAGGTACTGCATGAGCTAGCAGTTTATAATGGATTCCATTATTTTGGACAACAAGGAGGTGGTGGCGATAGGCCTATAGTTAGACGGGTCTGAGTGGTCACCTTTTTTAGGGATGGAATGGACAAAAGCCGTCTTCCGTGAATTCGGAACTACGCCTATGGAGTAGGAGTACCGGAAAAGACGAGTTAGAACACAATTGGGGAGATTCCGTCAGGCCCACTCGACTTGTGGATGTCAAGGGAGAGGAGTGCTCTGCGAACCGAGCGCTGTGTGAACCGCACATCTGGCATGGAGCACTCACACCGCGGGATAGTCGGGGGTGTGCTTCCTCCGTCATTAAGAGTCGATTTGGACGCAAAGAAAAAGCCTGGCAGATCCGCTTTCTCCTTTGCGGCATAGACCAGTGGGTCGTCCTCCCTGTGCAGAGATGAAAGAGATGGCTGACAGAAGTTCTCTTGGACAGCCTTGACGAGAGACCAGAATGCACGGGTTCCCGAAGGAAAGCGAACTAGTTTCTCGCAAATTCTGGCGATGTGCTCTGACTTTGCCGCAGCAATTACTCTTTTGAAGGACCTAGAGGCGAAATTATACTTATTTTACGAGCGCTGGTGTTTGCATCCCGGGACGTTGATTGCGTCAGCCCAGGCCCGGTAGCACTCCTGCTTATAGCGTGATGCTATTTTACAGGAGCGACTAAACCATGGCTGAGATCTGCCTCCGATGGACACCACGAGAGAGGAATAAAAAGTTCCATATCCTGAAGTACCACATCAGCGACAGAATTAGCAACAACGTTGGGATCGTCCAACGAGAAGCAAACCCGCCCAAAGGGTAGGATGCAAAGAAAGGCCGCATACTATCCCAATCGGCCGGTCTACAGTGCCAAACACGGCGGCAGCCTGCAGAATGCAATTTCGATGCTAGCGTGAGTGGCACTACACTCCGATCTACACAATGGTCCAAAGAGCCAAGAGGGGCGTCGACGAAGACGTCCGGATAATGTCAGCAGAAAGTCCAACAGGAAAGGTGCCAGCATCGATTACCACCAGCGCTTTTTCCGGACCGATACGACTTAGGGACCTTCAAGAAAAGAGCCTACTCCTTTTTAAAAGCCGGCAACGCATCTGCGATTCCCTGGTACCCCTGGTGTTGCCGTTGTTCATGTGCGGCTATAGTCACTTACCATCAGGTGAGCCGCATGCTCATTTTCCCCCTTCTATCAAAAAAAAAGAAAGCCATAGTCGTCGCTGTCTACACATAGTCAAAGGATGGACAGGTCCGAATCTTCAAGCCTGGCCGAGGCGTCGAGAACAGATGTCCTCTCTGAAGTATACGCAAACTCCAGCCCAAGGCAAAAAGGAGTGTTCCAATTTGTACCCCTGTTAGGCGAGATACCAAGTACGAAGAAGAGCAAGGCCGGCTACGCCGTCTCGAGATGGTAGTGTGTTAAGTATCAAGAAATTTCATATTTACACAAAATAGTACTGCTTTAAAAATTACAAATAATTTCTACTGCAACTAATTATTTGAATTGTACATTCATACCCAAGCTTACATCTCCAAAGTCCAATGATGGCACGCTGAATATAACTGATGGGTAAATAATTTCACCTCTGAAAATAACTCCTATTAAAAATTACTTACTATTTAAGTAAAAAAAACATTTTAATAAAATAAGCAAAATTAAAACCTTACTTCAAGAACACCTTAAGTTTGACGTCTGTATCAAGTATGATGAAATTGATTTCTTCTAAGAATGGTCCAGGATTAGAGTTTAAGAAAGAAACAACGAACAAGTCTTTTTCACCAGGGCGTAGAGAGCGACAATTAGGTGTACAAGTTATTTTACTTCCAAAAAGTGTGGGTGATTCCTTGTATACAATAGCACCATTAACATGTCCTGTTTAGATATTTCACTGGAATTAGTTTTTATTATAAAGAAAAGAAATACCTAAAATTAAATTATCTGTTACTTGATTATAAATTAAAAAATGAATAACAACTATTAAATTAGGTTAAACCAATGTTGTATTTTGTATTTAAGTTACTAAAACGTCAAATAGCAGAGGGCATCTCTCATATTTTATAATAACACTTTCAAAAAAGTAAAAACTAACTTCTAAAAACTAAAAAGTATAACATAGTTTTTAATTATTTACAATACACAAACAAAGAATTAATTGAATAAAGAATGTGTCGAAGAATATAGTCCGTACTTCAGAAGCAATTAAATTATGTAAAAAATTGTTCATTATTTTTAGTTTTTTGAATTCGTCTTTATCTTTTTCAAAAGTTAACTAATTGACCCCTTTGAGTGGTTTAAGCAATAACAAAATTTCAAGGTGACAACTAGAATGTCGCCTATAGAGTTCTATTATAAATTTCATCCCTATTTTTCCATCCTTAGGGATGCAATATTTTTTCAAATTTAATCGGGAGTCCTCGAGGCATAGACTTTTCAAAAAAAAATTCATAAAAATCGATTCACAAGCAGTGAAGATATAGCGTAACATACGTACAAAACACTACATTCAAATTTAGAACCTGTTCTTTTTTGTAGTCAGTTAAAAAAGGTACCTACGATATTTACCATTATTTATAGCAATAATTTCGTAATTATATGTCTTATTAATATATACAGAGCTCATGTCAAGGGTCTCCAAATTTAGATGTATAGATGGAGGCAATGAACTCCCTGCTAATTTTAAAGGTATTCGATCAGCAACGCCATCTATATCAAAATAAGCTATAGCATCCAGTTCTCCTATTTGCGTCGGAGAGAATGTTAAAGTTATTTCACTGGCTTTGTTCGGCCACAACTGACCAATCTAAAAATTAGAGAAAAAATCATAATCAACAAAATTATTAATATTTTTTTATAGAATAAGTATGACAAACGAGCCACAGTCCGCCTAATGGTAAGTGGATTTTGTAAGCTTTTGTAACCCATAGACATTTACATCTATCCTCGATTAACCAACAAAATGCATATGCGCTGTCACCCCTGAGGACCGGGATGGAATGCCTTCTTTCCAGTAAAGAATACTCACCATACGAAACACAGCGGCATTAAGCTGCTATTTCAGTCTGATATTAAGGGCCGAATTTGGGGGAAGGCAGGCGGGCCGACTGCCCTGGGACCTCCACAAGAGAGGGGCCCTCATAATAGAGATAAAAAAATACCCGAATTTTGACGGGTTAGCAATTTTTACGTTATTTTTCGAACCATTATTTTTTCGCATTTTTACCGATAATACTTGCACATACATAATAATATTGTTCTTGAATATTAAAAACTATATATCCATATTTGTTCACTTCCATATCAAAATGCGATATAAAACATCGATATATCACAAAGTCCTGATTGCAAGTTTTCATTCATTAGAACTATTACTTATATACATATAAGTAATAGTTCTAATTATAAACTTCAGAACAACTGTAATGTACTGAATGTACTTGGTTTTGATGGTCTCGAATTACACTGGAGAGCGTTCGTTTTCAAAAATGAAAATTATAAAGAATCGGCTCCGAACGACGATGGGACAAAACCGATTATCGAAACTAACCCTATTTAATATTGAAAGTGATTTAATCCTGGAGCTAGATTTTAGCGAAATCATCAACGACTTTTCGTTGATAAAAGCTCGCAAAGTTCCATTTAATAAAAGCGGTAATTCAGTTTTTAAGAAATTGTATTTGATTTATTGTACAGGGTTATTTTTCAAAGAGTAGCCAAATTTTAAACTTAAGTTCAAATCTATACATATAATAAAAATGTAAATAGCAGATGTCTGTACATTTTATATTTTTGTAATAAAAGTGTTTGAGAGGTACTAAAAATAAGTAATTAAATACATTTCTACCATTTTTAGATTTTTCTGTCTGTCTGTCTGTCTGTTTGTTTGTTAACGTATCACGTATAAAGTACTAATTTATATCATAAGAATAGTTAAGGAAATTAATAAGTGTATATTCAGGTTACATTTAGTCTTTATTTCATTCAAATTGGTTAATTCCATCAAAAGTTATGACAAATATTCTGAAGTATGGGTACTAAGTATAGGTACGAATTTGTTCAATAGTGGCGTTGGATGAGTCATCAAGTACATTTTAAAATTAATATCATATTATAAATCATAATTAAATGATGTAAAATAATGTTCTATAATGATATAATTATAACTAAAACGCAGTAAACAAAAGTATTACATAAAGAACGTAATAAATATACACAAAATATGTTAACCTTATTATCTAAACTAAATTAAAGTACAATAGTTAACCAATTTCATCGATAGATGGTGGTGTGGCACAAATGTGATACAAAAAGGCAGGTTAAAATTTTTTCCTGTAGATGAGTTTCATATTTGCTTCTAACCTTTATGTAAACGACACGCTGCCCTACTGCGTGTTGACAATCTCATTTATTTTTATTTTTTTACCGCCGAGTACTCTATGTGGTAAATCAAATTTTAAGAGCTATTAACAATTTCGTTTTTCGGCGAGGATCAAACTTTCTTTTTTGCTTACTATGCAGGCACTGATTTATAAGTTCTTTTATGTTCTTTATTGTATCAATCGTGTCAATTAATCTCTTATTTTTAGAATTGATGTTAACAGCGCCATCTCTCTTTAAATCTATACATATAATAAAAATGGTAATAACATGTGTCTGTTTCTGAATATTGTATAGTATATTAATTTTAAATAGTTTGAAAAATCCAAAAGTGCACGCCTCATGATCGTTTCATTTAATTATGATGAAAAAAAAATACTAAAATTAAATTGATTAGGTACACAAATTATAAAATCGGTATAGGCTGTATCGTACATTTGTCTTGCTTGACCTTGCTTGTCGAGAGTAAAGCACGACCTAACAACTTGCTCGAAATTGCTTGACCTTGACTTGTCGAGAGTAGCAAATTGAATGTGGTTTATGGACAGCGACGTTCTTGCCTACAGATCGACCCTATGTGGGAGTGCACAGTAACATCAGTTAAAATAATGCATTACCACGCATTTTGCATTTAAAAGATAAAAAGGACAAATCGTTTGAGGTTTTTTTTAATTAATTTTCATCATATGCCTATATTACTTAGTTTGAACCTTCTCTGCAAATTTGGCCGGTTATTGCAAAATAACCCTGTATATTATTGTAAACTAATATTTATATATATATATATATATATATATATATATATATATATATATATATATATATATAGCATACCAGATGCTAGAATATACAAGAGCGTTACTTGAACTACGAACGCATACACGCGATAAACGATTTTGATTTTGAATTTTTATTCGCAAAATAATTAGCTAAAGAGGAACTCTTTATAGTGAACTCTTTCTTCCAGAAGTGGCCCCACAGGAAGTGGACCTGGTCGAGCTCAGACGGTTCGACAAAAATGAGATTTACTTCATTATCACGACTAGACGACAACTGTTTAGTGATGTCTCAGGCAGCGATCGCCGAATGGTGAGAGGCACACTGAACCTAACGTGAAATTCGTCTCTAATCCAAAGTCCCGAAAACTTTCAGCTCGAGTTACAAAACCGTTTTCAGTGCCTAAAAAACTGCAATGCAGTAGACGATATGGATTGGATATGGATTATCGATAAAAAAATATACAGGATGCCGATTTAATCCTTTACACTATTTAAGGAGGTAAAACAGTCAACGATACTGTACTCATACCAATAGAAATGAGTAGCATATATCAACTATGCTAAGTACCTTACTTTATGTCGAGCAAGGGTGGGAAATTTTTTTTACGCGTGCTGATGAGATTTTCTGTGTTGCTTATGAGCAAGCTGAGGATACTTGCTGTGTTGATATTTAGCAATACAGCAAGTCTTCTCTTTTACATACCAGGCTTCATTGTCTGGTGGTTTTACACGGGGCTTTCTTTGTCTGGTGGTTTTCAAGGGCAAAGCCATTATAGATCCTCGCTTACAGTGATAGGAGAGGGCAATAGGTTTCTTACATCAAAAACAATTTGTACTATTAAAGATATTAGATGCAAGAAGTTGTAGGTTAAGCCTGAGTTAGAAAATAAGGTAAAAACTTAAAATAACAATTTTTATTGATGTGGGTAGTGTGGTAGTCTTTAAGTACTGCAGCTGATGAAACGTGAAAAATCGTGAAACGGCTTTTAAGTTCAGTGTTTTGCTAAAATATTTTAGATTTGAAGTGTATTTTTGTAATAGAAATGAATTTAAAAACATAGAGGCGCTCTCTTATTGGATTTGGCGTTTCTCGATGTGTCTTTAACGCCGACCGATCAATCATATGCTATTATTATAGCAGCTAATGGACCGAGTGAAGTCATGCCACCAAGGTGGCAACCAAAGTGACTGCTGTTTGAATTGATTCTTAGTTATTGGAAATTAAATATTTTATTTCATGACACAAAAGGGGGTTAAAAATTAATATGATTTTTTTTCGTGTGATGAAAGTCATGATAAATAGATTTATACAATAAAACAATCATGTATATTCCCTATTATTATATCGAAAAGCATTTCAAACTTAGTAATCTTCAACGACATTATCGATACTTTGATATCGAAACGGTAACATTCCTAAAACCAGGTACATTTATTAGCGTGACCCACTGGGGAATAGCTAAAATGTTGTCTTAATACATGCTTAGCGTTGTTTTGCTATCTTTAGCTAGAGGGTGCCACACGCGCACTAGCTCAAAGTTTTTGTATATAAATATTCCCAATGTCCGCTCTATAGTATACCTATATATTTAAATCTCTTTGCGATGGATGTAAGTGGCTCAGGACCGAACTTTGTGGCATTCCTTGGGGGGGGCCTATGATGATGAACGTATGTATTAACAGCATTTAAAAATATATTATTTGTAGTCTATTTTTTTTCTAATGCGTTACGACTATTTCTATTAATTGAATAATGTAATTACTTACAATAGGTGATATAGAGTAATGACTATCTCGGAAATATAGTGTTTCGTCTGCCACTAGAGCTTGTATTTCATCACAAAATATTCTGGTGTAAACTCTTTCATGCTCGGTACTGGTTAGAACATCATAACGAACCAGTTTTGCACATTTAGCTGCTTCACTCTCTTTCAGATTGTAGAAAACAGTTGCAAGTTTAACTTTATCCTTAAAATCTATTAGAGTAAAGACAAAAGATATAAAAATAATAAATTATTATAATACGTGTTGTAACTTAGAACATTTTACATTTATTTTATTATTACTTTTAACAAAAATAAAATAATTTGCCACAAAAACATTAGATACAATGGTTATTTTTTTACTGAAATTGTCCATTCTTTATATATAAAGCTAGCTTTTAGACCTTTGTCTCTACATAATATAACTTTTATTTTAAAAACTTTTTCTCTTAAATGTCATTTTTGTCAAAAAAAAAAGGAATTTAATTTGTTTTTATCAAGATCGTTTTAAATGGAAATCCATAGTCTATACTACACATCTGGGTAACAGGCGTGATAATTTTAGTATGTATATAATTTGTCAATATAATACCTTATAATTAACAAAAAACGAAATTTGTATATCCCTTTTTTAGAGAACTTTCTAAAGAAAGTATCCATTGTTTCCGTTTCGGGAGTGAGTTAAGGAAGACAGAAAGGTATGTAAAAATTGATTACTTAATAAAAAACAGGTATACCATAGTAAACACATTCATTCTTCATACACGTGTATGTAAGTACATAATCGGATTTATTGATGATTTTCAATATTTGTTGCTGCACCATGCCATTGTACGTTTCGGGAAATTTAACTATTTGCTTCTCTATTTCAACACTTACAGCATGTGTTGTGCCGGACAATTTTATTATAAATTTTTCACCTGCAATAATTCAAAAAATATTTAAATTCTTTATTTTTCTCTAAAGCATTAATTTATTTTGAATTGTAGTAAGTACCTGTTTCTAATACAACTCGCAGTAATCCCTGTGTATAGCCTAAATGCATTGTTTTAAATGCAACTTTAATTTCAATTTGTTCATCACAATTCAGATAGGCCGACTTGGGTTGTACGGAAAAAGGGCTAAATCAAAAAAGGACTGTTATTGTTGAAAGGCTTTATAGTTTACATATAATTTAAGTTATAGCTACATACCATTTCGCATCTAACGTAAACCCAGAAGGAACCATACCAACATTACGAATAGTTAATAAATAGTTACTCTCGACTTTTAAAGGTACTTTTGGAATTGTCAGTTCATCAGGAAAATTAAACATTGGCCTAGGCCCCATACCTGTAAGATAAAGATCCTCAGAGTGTCATATTAATCAATTTTTATATTATGGTACATCTAAAATAGAATTAATTACTAACCTATCAGAGGTACTATATATTGATCCAGATCTGTGTAAAATGTTATCTTGTGAATGTAATCCTCCAGTAACGTTGGTGTAAAAATGATAAGAAATGAAACACTTATGCCAGGAGCCAATCTTGATAAAGGTTGAGGTCTATTCAACTTTATGGAGAAATAAGGAGATTCCTTAAAAACCATTTTGAGATATGTTGGTGCCTACAATAGAATTATTTGAGTATTATATTGATAATGTGAAAGTAAACAAGAAATATTTTTTAATTAACAACAACCAACCTTGCTTATGTTCTTCACGGAAAATTTAGTAACAATTTTGTCATTTGGTTGAAAGTTTTGAAATATAATTATACTAGGTGTGAACGACAAAATAGCATGTTTTTTATCTTCACCGTTATTAACAATGTTATCTATAATAACGTTGTTTAAACTTTGCAATCGTTCCTCAGTGCTCAGCCTCATCTCTTTTTCGTACTCTGATGGTATAATCTGCAGGAAAATTAACATAAATAATGGGAACAGTAATGACAACAAGGGTTAGAAAAGTGTTTTATTTTTTAACCTAACAACTTACTTCTTCTGAACCTTCCCCCAGCTTTTTCTTAGACAGTAGCTGATATAGTTCCGATGTAAAATATCCATTCTCTTTAAACTTTTGCAATATTTCCATAATATTGTATTTATTACTTCAGTCGTTTGACAGTCTATTTGTTTACAAATAGTTGCTCCGACAAATGTCAAAATAAATTTAAAAATAGAATAACTCGATCTAGGAAATGAAATAATGCTAGGGTTATGTATGTACTTCGAATACTTTATTCAAGTTTTTCGACAAATGCACCAACCGTCTTCACCTAGCCACATATTCACTGCGAAACAAAGTGTGTATAAAGGCTGTTTAAAACAAAACGTACGTGCTTCTGACACAAATAATTATGTTTCATGAACACTTGAAATTGTTGCGGTAAACACTACGCGTTTCCGACAGTTGAGAGCCCCCGAAACGGTCAATTGGGATTGTTAATGTTTACGTGATTGAAGGTTTCAGATGACGGGCGATTGAAACTCCAATTGAAGATATATCATTTACGCAAACTGCATGTATAAAGTTTGCCCTTAATCAATTGCTGAACTGTGGTATAGTTGTAGAACGAATGGGTCGGCTCGACCGAGGAAAGACCACGCTCTCACAGAATACCAAAGTAAAATAGCAGCTCCATACTGCTGTGTTTCGTGTGATGAGTGTAGAGAACCGGAGACCCTTTTTACTGGAAACGAGGCATTCTATCTTATTCCTCACGGCTAACAACGCATCTGCATTTTTATTCGTAATCGAGGATAGATGTAGATGTCTATAGGCCACAGCAACCATTTACCATCAAGTGGACTGTGTGTGCTTGTTTGCCTCCTTTATCCTATAAAAAAAAATTCAAAAAATAAAAAACAAATATAAAAATTAAGCGGAAAGTTGCAGGGTCTTCATTTTTCAGATTTTTATAGTTTACACGCCTTATGGGGGCAAGGATGTGTTAGACCCTGTTATATGTAGGCGGGACCACAAGGGTCGTTTGCGCAAACATCCGTGGTCCCGCTAGTACCAGCCAAACTTCGCTCAGTTCTTCTCCTGGGAACACAGGTGTGCCTTCCTGAATGGCCTCGATTTCCACAAAAAAAAACATGCAACGGAAACATCAGACTTCCCGGCTCGATTTGAAGCCGAAACGTGGATGACTTCGCCGCCAACCACGATTCGGCTACGGATAGGAAAAGCAGGGCATCACAAAATAGACACTCCATTTCCCCTGTGGAGTAATCAGCACTGCGGCCCCACCGGAGTCGAGGAAATATGTAGCTTGGCCATACCCACACTCCTCTTCAACCACTTCGGCTGTGGGGGTAGCATGAGGGGTCAATAATCCCATCACAGTACCTCTTCGAGCAGATCTTTCACCTCGGATCAGCCTATTCTTTCAAGGTCAATCTACTTAGTTCAAAGCTACGTTGGTGTTGAGGTTCTATTCGGGCATTTCAACTACGTTTGGTGCGATACCAATTCGGTTGAGATTTTAAAAAAGATTATAATTTGCCATCAATTAATTCTCTTATCATTCCCTATCATTGCAGTATTATCTCTTTAATAGCAATATTAATAATCAAATTAAAACGACAACAATGCTATATCTTAATTAATAAATTGGTTTAACGTTAATGATTTGCATTTAAATTGCACTAAAACTAAATGCATGAAATTCGTAACTCCAAATGTCAAATATCTAATCTAATACTAACGTAATTTTAAATGTGGAGTCTTGTTGATACCACCACTTTTCTTGGAATCACAATAGACGTGAAGCTTCAATGGAACCCTCATATATCAAAACTAGCAAGCAGACTTAATTCTGCAGCATATGCTGTAAAAAAGATTCGAAATCTCACCTACTTATTTTGCAAAGGAGTAGTTATAATTTATGAGATAAAAGAGGACGCCTCGAGTGACTGACTCATCTATCAACGCACAGCCCAAACTGCTAAAAGTGGAAATCTGAAATTTGGACAGTAGCTGCCTTTTATAACATAGCTATCCATTCAGAAATTGTTTCGGAAAATCCAATCCCTCAAGGAGTTGTGTCACAGAAACCTCAATGGCGCTATCAAAGTTCTGAAGTTAACGCGCTTAAATATAAAACAGCTCCAAAATAACACAAGGAGCGTTGGCCGCTCAACGGGTTGTACACCATGCCCGAGGGGATATTTCCTCTTTTCATTCTACGGCCAAGGTGGTTACCCCGACGTAATGTGTACACGACGCAACCAACAACCTTCGGAAACTTCAACTTCAAGCATTCGTCATCGTCCTCAAGTACCCCATCCATTCGCTCCCGAGCAGATATTGTCTGCAGTCTTCAGATCATGCAAATCATTTTTTAGATTTTCTCTACAAGGTTCATCGCAACACTGCAATAATGCTTCCTGTTCCTGCAAGCTACTCTCTGCGCTACAGTGTTCGGCACGCCTTTGACCCTTACTGCTCGCCTCTGCTTCATGGCACTCACGCAGATTACTTGCCTCCGGTCTAAGCAGAGGAGTGATGTGGCGGCGCTGTCGTCACGCCACAAGAAACGACCCGACACTGAAGCCTAAATCGCGCTATCAAAGTTCTGAAGTTAACGCGCTATATATATATATATATATATTCTTATGTAAAACTTATTCGAGATTATTTTTTTAAATAAAGAGGAAAGAATTATAACACAAATTTTTTTATTCACATTCAAAAATAAAATTAACAAAACTAATGCTAGGAACAATCTTACATGTATAACGGCCCCACGCAAAAGAAGAGCGATCGCGTCGATTGCACTGTTTTTATACCGTTAGGGCTTGCAGGGAAGGGAGACTTCTATCTTCTACTACACGGCCTCTCCTGACAGGAGACCGTCCTCGGGCTCCCTTTTTCTTTGAATATCGGCCTCATCACTGCGGCATGGAGAGTGCAGGCACCGCGTCGATCACAGCTGACACGCTTGGTGATGGCTCATCGTTGTCGCTTGTGATGCAGGCTCTGAGTGTCGGCGCGGAGGGTCTCTCTATTCTCGAAGTTCCTGTCTGCTGCTCTTCCTCTACATTCTGCCCCAAGCGTTCAGCGTCAAGTGGCTTAGGTCTTGGAGACTGTCCGTTTACAAATTGAGACTCCTCGGCAGTGGAATCTTCGCCTTCAATGTCTGCGTCTGTCAACAAGATATACCACAACTATTATGTTAACGAAAACATTATCTCTTCGTTACAACATATCGTCTGAGTAAGTCATAGGCACTACGTTCGCATAACTTAACAAAATAACTGAGTAAGTCATAGGCACAACGTTAGCATAACTTAACAAACTAATAACCGATTAAGTCATAGGCACTCCGTTAGCATAACTTAACATCTACTTAAGTCATAGGCACGACGTTAGCATAACTTAAGCTAGACGCGACAGAGGCACAACGTTAGCTTGTCCGCCTTCTAATTTTGAGAAAGAGGCACAACGTTAGCGTATCTCAATATTACTCTTTCAGATAGGAAGCACTACGTTAGCTATTTCTGACACGTGTAACTACTGACCCTCAAAGCATGGGGCAACCACACACCTCGTGTGTAGGCTAAAGTAACGATACTGACTTAATTATTAATGTAACTTTCCCGTCTCGGCCCTTGCTGACCATGAATTTTCAAATCTTTACGAATCGTTATTCAACAGCAGACAATGAGTGAGCTCTTGAATATATTTCAAACAGACTAAACTTAGATAATATTTTCTTAGGAACACTGCGCATACGGCGCAGATCGTACGATACACTGAAGACACAGGCCAACCAGGCTGTCTCGGCGCACCAGCGCCAGCGAGCTGTCTCGGCGGACCAGCGCCAGCGAGCTGTCTCGGCGCACCAGCGCCAGCGAGCTGTCTCGCTGTACTCGCACTAGAGAGCAGTCTCGGCGCACCAGCGTCAGCGAGCGGTCTCGCTGTACTCGCACTAGAGAGCAGTCTCGGCGCACTCGCACTAGCGAGCTGTCTCGGCGCACCAGCGCCAGCAAGTCGCTACGCCGCATCAGCGCCAGCAAGCCGCTGCGCCGCATCAGCGCCAGCAAGCCGCTGCGCCGCATCAGCGCCAGCAAGCCGCTGCGCCGCATCAGCGACAGCAAGCCGCTGCGCTGTATCAGCGACAGCAAGCCGCTGCGCTGTATCAGCGCGAGCAAGCCACTGCGCTACACTCGCACCAGCGAGCTGTCCAAACTTCAACATTGTAGGCATAGGCACCAAGTTTGCATACCTCCCAGGGGCTGATAACATAAGCACAAAGTTAGCGTTAACTAGTACCTGAAACCTGTTTCATATTGGATTTTACTCAAGGTAGTTTTAATGTAAAATTTGAAATACACAACAGTAAAAGCAAGAGACATTGAAATAACTACGTCAGATAAGCATGCACTTAAGTATATCCAACAGAGGTCTCGCAAAATAGGTATTCAAAGTAATTTAAGATTGAAACAGATGTAAAACGTTTTAGGTGCATGAAACAAATAAATAATCTGCTTTGCAAAATAAAAAATTAAAACAAATGAAGACAAATGTATTGCGAACCATAGAATTCGAGGCTTCGAAAGTTCACCACACATTCTCTTAAGAAACGGTATATGTGTGGACATGGCACTCACAAATCATTGCACACATTGCAAAAACGGCAACTATGTGGAGAGACTGATCCTACCACATATTCCTAAAGAAAGGAAGCAACTGTTCAAGATTTACACATTACAAAAGGCAACTGCATGCAGAGGCGTTGGCTACTACACACATTGCAAATATAAAGAGCAACTTTATGAACATATCACACATCAAATTGTAACAGTAATTTAACCGTCTTTGCTCGATAAACATCCGCGTGACATGGCTCACCACTCGCAACGAAAACTGAGCAAGCGTCAGACGTCAATTTGCCGCGCCAAAGCATCGTGTGGTCGGCAGAAGCCGTACCGCCGCAAGATCCGCCAAGACATAGCAGGTAGCAGCGGCGTAGCCTCAATCATACCAAGGCTCGGCCACGCCAATGTCCAAATGGCCGTCGACTATTTGGAGTAAACTGTAACACTTATCAACACACTAGAATACAAACAGGCTATTTATTTTTT